TGTATCGGTATTCATTCATTGATATAGCATGGGATTTAGGTACATATTTATCCAGAGGAGAGAGAGGAAGGCCTAAATACTGTTTATGGCGAACCACGGCCTCTCTCAATCATAGCTTGTTCTTAATTAAAGTGCTCCATTCAGCCATTGGACCATGAGAAATTCTATTACCGGTATATTCAAAAGAAAGCACCAGATATTGCCTTACTGTACTTCAGTACTTAAAAAGCAGATAAAAATGACCATAATACATATAAAAAATATAGAGAATTACCGGTATAGAATAAAAAAAAACCATTTGGAAGAAAATTGGAAAATTAATGCAAAGCATTATTTTAAAAAGGAAATTATATGTCTATGATACGTATTTCTGTATTTGCAAAAATACCGTAAATAATAAAATATTAAAAAAAATAAAAACGGTAAAGCCGATAAAACGGCTTAAACATATGGCGAACCTCTCTAAATCTTAGTTTCTCAAAATGATCCATACGGACTTTTAGGTACCGGTATTTGTTTACTTATGAGAATATTGACGTCTGGACGTGGCTAGTTTCAGAGTTTTATAACTGTCCAAAAAAGCAAAGCAGAAACGGCATTAATAAAATTTGACAACGGTAGCATTAATTCAAATTAGTCGTTATCAATAAGTACTAATAGATAAATTGCCACATTTCGACACTTTATCAATATGTTTGTCAAATTTGTGGGATTTATAAATAATAGTTAACATCTTCACGGGCTCCATAACGCTAAGACTTTGAAACACCATGCTGTAAATCAGTGATTCCCAAACGGTAGGGCGTTTGAGAACCACTGCTCTAAATCAATACATCGAATAGGCACGATATGTTTGTATGTAGTTGACATATTCCAAGAACCTAAATTTTGCTTTTTTAGAAAGAGAAGCATTAGAATAGGATTATAGATGAATATGTCTTTCCGTTGTTGTCTACCTGGATGTGACTTGACTTCAAAAGACTGCACACTTTTTAAAATTCCTGCAAAAAAATTTCTCTCTGGTTCTGCAAAAGAATGGGCTGATAAATTGGAAAAAATAATACTTGGATGCAGACAAGAATCACCACATATATAATTTATTTCAAAGAGACATGGGTGAGGATGTGTGAGCGGCATTTTGAATCAAGTGATTACAGACTAGGTAGGTACTTTATCATCCATGTATATCAGTCTATAAACAGATTCTCTGATATTGCAATAATTACATTTTGTATTACAGTGGGAAAACAGAAAAAAGCTGAATGTTGGGGCTATTCCCTCTATAAACTTGCCAAAAACTAAAAGACTGAAAAATTTGTCAGACCGCCACCAAAAATTAGAAAAAGAAACAAAACCAATTATTTTCAGGGACTTCAATGCATTCAAAAATAAGGCTTCAAATTCAACATTATTAGAAAATTGGGAATGTCTTGCATCTGAACATCGACTAACAATAAAAAAGCTATCCGAATTCGACCAACCTAGCTATTGTATTAGGGTAGATAACAATTTAAAATTCAAATATTATATTTTGGATGGAGAGGTTGTTTGGGTTTTAATATTCAAAACAATACTGTGTTAGCAACTGCTGCATCATGTTGAAAGGTTAGTCATTTGCCCTGGTCTTCAACATGAAAATGGAATACCACATCTGAGAACAAAGCTGCAAGAAAATAGTTGAGCTTTCCAAACTATCCTCATGTGGATATAATTGCATACCAGGTTAGTCAAATTCATTTTAGTGTAGATTAGAATGATTTATCAATGAAGATAGTTTTGATTAGAATTAGTCAGCAATCACAGGACTATGCCAAGAAGTAACAATTTTCAGATCGCAATCATGTGAAATATTCACTACTTCTGGAATATGCAGCAGCTGTTGCATGTTACCTCGAAAGAACAGAAAAATATTAAGCGTAGGAAAGCCTATTCAGAGAAGGTTGTGAATTTTGCCTACAAAAAGGATAAGGTCTGGAATTTAACTGAGAGGACTGAAGGCAACATTCAATGCAGCAAAATGAAAAGTAGGTTGATTTGGTAGATGATCATTATGTGGCCAAGTGCAAAGAGTATCTATTTGATTTGAATACTGTCAAGGTTATTTTAATTACACTTTTGGATTTTTATTAAAATTTAAATTGGAAAGCTGTCAAAAACATTTACATACACGTCTTGTTTGGCACGCTCATATCTGGCAACAAAAACATGAAATCCAATTTTATAAACGTGATTGAATATACATATAGAAGTGACAAATAATATGAAATACGGTAAGCGTAAATAAAAAAAAATTTTGAATTTTTGAAGTTACACACTTTGAAAGGTATCATGGTATTTATGTCATTACCAACTAATATTGCATCTGCATCAAGGGACATAAATATTTTGAGATCATGATAAGTGTCTAAAAAAGCCGGCATGATATTTTGGTATCTTGAGAACAATTTTATAACAGAATTACAAAGATTGCTAGTTGGCAAACATTGAAGCGTATCATGGTATTTATGTCCTATAAATCGGGCAATATTTTGGTATCTTGAAGTGTCCAACAATGAAAAGATGCATGCCTAGGCTAATATTATCTTTGTTTACTTGAAATGTTTTATAACAGAATTGCTAGTTGGCACACATCGAAGGGTATCATGGTATTATGTCCTATAAATCTGGGTACTCCCGTGGTATGTGCACCAACATGGCAGACACAGGAACGTTGTGTATGTACCAGGTTAGGCCATAATTTCAGGTACAAATATATGGCTAGTCCCCAAATTCGTAAATAGAAATAATTATGGATCCAACCTGATACACATACTCTGTTCCGGTGTCCGCTGTCTTGGTGCACATATTACGGAAGCCCCTAAATCTGGCATGGTATTTTGTTATCTTGAGAAGTGTCCAAACAATGAAAAGTAGAGTCATTGAGATTTGAACAAATATATGCATGATTAAGGCTAATATAAATTTTATGTTTTCCTTGAAATGGCAGAAATTATGTATTTATGTTCATATAAATCTGGCAATGATATTTTGGTATCTTGAGATGTCCAGAGTTAAACAGATATAGTATAATAACAGAAATCACATTATCTTGAAGCTGAAATAAAACAACTCCTAAAGGACACAAAAACATTTGTTCTTGTTGAAGACAGCTTTTCTGATGACTTGAGCACCATAATACAGGAAGGTAAAGTAGTATATTTGTTTAGCTTCTAACTTCTATCAGTAACGAAATACATTTATTCAAATATTTTCTTAATCATACCACTGAATTCTGAATTATCCTTTTATATGTTCTTGAACCACAGCATCACAAAAAAATGAAGTTTAACAACTTTTATTCACTTTTCTGCGAAAGAACAAACAAATTAATAGAGCATCATCATGCGGAAAAGATACCACCCTGAAATAATCAAGTAATGAACAAAATTTTGTCTTCAAATTAAATTGGCGATATGAATAAATAATTAGATTTATATTACAGATTTTGCCTGAGTTTTGGCTGCAAAAAGTCGTAGAGCTTATGAAGAACTGAGAGAAACGGTTTGCTCCACCTGCCGAGCATCGAACATTAAGTGATACAGTCTGGCCAGTCATACTGGAACACATGCTAAATAAATCCATGTGTAAGGGTGTGTGTTGGTAGATGAGCAGATTTGACTAGTCTATTTGAATGTTACAGAAATGTTTTCCGAACCTCCCAGGGAATACACGACCATGTTTTGGAAGAAATCAAAGCCAAAAGCATTACAATGGAAAGAACATGAAAAATACATAGTATTATCCATTGATGAAATGAAAGGTGACAAATTAATAAAAAATTAATTCCATTATATAGTGTACAGAAGCCATAGAAAATATTTTCTATTACAAAAAATTAGCCCCATTGTAAAAAGCAGTCATTATGAGTTACAGAAAAATTAGTTCACATAGCAAAAAGCCAGTTCATTGGAAATATTTTTGCATTACAGGAAAAATTAGCTGAAATAGTGAATAGCAGTCATAGGAAATATTTTACACTGCAGAAAAAATAGTTCACATAGTAAATAGTAGTCATATAAAATATTTTTGCATTACAGTAAAAGAGAATTTAGCATATAATTCGGCAAACCGATGAAATGGTAGGTTTCGTTGACCTCCGGTCCAAGTAGAGGAAAAGATGAGAATTCAGCTGCTACACATGCATCACAATTTTACATTCGATCAATAGCAGGCAAATTTTCGAGACCATTGGTATTTTACGCAACTCATGCAGTTAAAGCAAACACCCTTGTTAGCATTGGTTTGGCAAGCAGTGGCAGCTTTGGACAAATATGACCTGAAAGTGATTGCAGTAGTTGCTGATGGTGCATCATGTAATCGTAAAATGTTTACTCTAATGAACAATAAGAAACAGGAATTTCCTCAAAGCTGTATTAACATTTATAGACCAGAGCTGGAAATTTTTTTTGATTCGGACCCCCCACATCTCTTGAAAACAACATGCAATAACATTCGATCTAGGTAGTTACAACGGCACCAGATTTTGAAATACAATGAAAAATATATTTTGTGGGATCATTTTCGAAAGGTTCCAAATTTTTTTGCATCAGAAGAACTCCGTTGTGTAAACTGACAGAGGCACATTTTTCAAATCAGAGCTTTTCAAAAAATGAGGGTTTGCTATGCAGCAATATACTTTCAGGCACAGTTTCAAAGGCTAATGACACATAAAGGAGGGCAGAGATGGAGAGAAGTGCTTGGATTGCCAGGATAATGAATAAGTGGTTTGATTTGATGACACAAGAATAAATTATAAATATAACAAGATCTCAGACCATACATAGACCCTAATGAGACAGACTAATTGGCTCGAACACACCTTACAGGAGAATTGAACGATTGAAAAAAAAGTTTGACAGGAGCTACCACAAGAAAACGAAACATTTCTAAGTCATCAAACCTACCAAGGTCTTATTTCAACAACAGCAGCTATGGTCAAGTTGGTTAGATTTTTGCTAAACAAAACAAAACCAGGAATTTATATTCAGACAAAAAGAATAAATCAGGACCCATTAGAAGCATACTTTGGTCATATGAGACAAATTGGTAGAAAGTGTGAAGCTCCAGATCTAAATCAATATGCTCAGTTCGAAAACATAATAGTTACAAAGAAAAATATCAAAACTGTTAAAGGATCCAATGTCAAAGGAATCATCAATTGGCAAACCGGGCCGACTTCTGATGATAAGCTTCGAAAGCGTAAAAAAAATAGTGACACTTACAATAAAATGCCACAATAATAAAAAATACAGTCTATTTTAGTGACTTCCTAAGACTCACGTTTTGGTCGTGTTTCAGCTGAAATTTCTTATTCAGGGTCTTAGCTTTTTGAAAACATCTTATTTTAACAAAAAATTCACATATTTTCCAAAGAATCTCTATAAATTTGTCATTAACTTGGCCAAAAGGTTTGAATAATGTCACTACCTTGATAGAGTTTAATATTGATGCCATCACATTCTCAGAGGAATAATATTTACGAAAGTTAAGTTCTACCTCTGCAAGCATATCTGTGATTTTAGAAACCGGTTTCACCAATGTTCCATAATCCTTATTCTCAAGGATATTTATTAAAGATGACCCGGCGACAGATGAATCATCAGAAATAAGTTCATTGATTATGTTGTACTGCATTTCTGTCTTTGATTTTTTTCTTAATTTTTGTAAAATATAACCCCCTATGTATTCCACTATAGCTAATTCCTCATCTGTGACTATTGTTTCAGCTGGTTGTATCTTATCTTTTTCATCTAGAAATCGCTCGAAATGGTCAAAAACTATGCGTGTTTGCTCGAGAGCAGTGTGGCGGTTTATTGATGGGAAGAGATTCGGAATTACAGTCACTGCGTCACAGCTGAATCTCAACATTGAGTTTTCTTTATGTAATAACTTGAAATATTGTATAGCGTCATGTGACAAGTGTTCATCTTTTCCCCCTGCACTTCTCCACCATTCTTTGATTAGGGATTCAGGAACCAGTTGAGTTGTACCTGAAAAATCAGAGCACTGAAAAGAATATACTAAATGCGGTGGTAAAAATGTACAGATAAAAAAATTAAAAAAAAACTCACAAGTGCGGTGATGATGTAATATAAAATCCCCACAGTCTTCAAAACACATATGACATTTGTTGCAACTAAAAAGTAAATATTTCAATGGCCAAATCTGAAAACTTATACATCCTAGTGCAGGGTCGTCCTACCCGTGGCCGCAAAAGAGTTCAGAGTGGCCCGCACAGTATTTTTCAAAATTGAATAAACCAAACTTAACCCGATGTCTCCCACAAATTTGAGCCACCTCTCGTAAAAAATTAAGCGAAATAATATTAAAAATTTTATTCTCCGTCGGTCAAACACGCGAGAGACACTATTAAATGAAATTTAGTCACTGCGTAAAATGTTCTGTTCAGATATTCGCAATAGCTTTGTGCAACGTGGAAATTGTAACATGAATCAAAACATGTATATATATATCTATTCAAGTTTGCGGCCCACAATGAGTTTTCTCGTGTAGGAGTGGCCCGTTGGACATCCCTGTCCTAGTGTATCACTGTTAATCTGTGTAAGCTTTCACATTCAAAAATAAAACAATATGATAACATGTCGCTTTTCACATCAGTAAAACATGTGAACATTCGAGTAGAGGTAAGTTTAATCTTCAGAGGCCTTCAGTGTTGGTCTATAGATTATAAAATTCTTAAAATACAGTATGAAAAAGCTATGGTAGGATACTCACCGATGAATTTTCTTACTGGATGATGAATTCATCTTTAAAAATGATCTCAACAACAACTTCGCAATCCAGATTGAAGCTATTAGAATTCATAGCTCTGTTGGTGATCACTGTGTTATATTCAGAATATTGTAGTACACAGTTATACGCTATAAACTAGTGCTGACAAAACCATATTGATCTAAAATGCGGCACTAGTCTATTCTAATGATGCATATTTTTTTTTTGGACAAGCAAAATTTCTTTGAACATGTCAGCCAAATACAAACATATCGCACCCATTCAACGTATTGATTTAGAGCAGTGATCTTAAACTTTTCAAGCTACGCTCCTTTTTTTCTAGATCCCCACTCAGAAATGATAGCTAACAATAAGCTACCGTACAAATAACGGTGCTCCATAACTATGTGTACCAATATCATGGAGGTTACTAATTTTGTCAGACTATTTTACATCAAGTGTAAGGGACTTGAACTTATGGCAGAGATATTCACTTGGCTAAGGTAGTCCCCTAACTTGTAATAAACTAAAAATAAGGAAAATCGAAATAAAATTATGGCCTAACCCTACTGGCACACATAACATGCTAGGGCAGTAACCAAATACTAGTAGTACTGGTACTGTGGTAGTAAACTTATCGACTTCCTCTCCCCTGATGAATATGTACCGGGCTCAAGGCGCGCTCAATGGGCTAAGCGTTAGGAATACGCTCGCCACCGCACCTCTAATTACTCTGCGTGGGTTCGCAGGTTCGAATCCCATGCAGAGATGGTCATGAGCAAGAGGATTGCTGGACTCCTCGCCGTCGTTGGGTGGTCCACGTAACCGCTGGTCGGTTACCGGTACGGCTTCCTCCACCACCAAGTCCATACTTCCGGAAACAAACAATATAACTAATCCCATACCCGACTTGGAATGGTAACCGGACAAGAGGACGTGGTTCGCCATATGGATAAGCCGTCTTATCGGCTTTCCTCTTCCCCGAGATAAATATGTAAATCCTATCCTAAATCCCATGCTATATCAATAAATGGATACAGAAATAACCACAACCCACTTCTTGACCTCATATTCTGTGCTGTAGCCACGTTTTCTCCCTAATAGATATGCATTCCCAATAAGCATATGCTCGTAGTTAGTATACTTTCAACGTACCAAACTTCGAAACCCAAAACCGAACTTGAATAGAAAAATTAAAGGCCAATTTCGCACCCGGTCCAGCTGAAGCAAGGAATTTTTGCAGCGAGCGATATGCTTTCTCCATATGCAACGAACCATTCAGCTGGACGACGTAAAAATGCAGGGAACAATGCCACAATGAGCAAATCTTTGCAAGTTTCCACTCATTGTATATATGCTCATTGCTTTGCATTAGGTCAAAGGCAATTACAGCATTCTGTGTACTCATTTTAAACCGTGTGCTAGTTCTATTGGGCGGCGCATTTGGAGGAAGCTTTTGTGATTTAAATCAATACCAATATCTTTAAATAATATTATTGCTTATGAGAAATTGCAGTAAACTCAACTAATCGAGGTCAAGATGTACTCGAGTTCTGTGCCAGACCTTTTGCTGCAATATATTTTCTGGGGAAAAAGCGCATACCAGGTCATTTTTTGTCTCAAATGATCTAGATTTTATAATTCATGTGTGTTTACTCTGTTTATCTGATCCTATAACTAGTCTTTTTATTATATTTTGGGTATATATAAACTAACTGACTGTACCGGTATATGCGCAAACACTATCGTAACGTATGGAATGTGTAGTTGGTGGTTACAGCAGATTTCACAGGGATGATTCTGTCTTAAAGCAGAAAAGAGGAAAAAACTATGGATAAAATTTTTGCAAGTAACCTTTTCTGATGTCTCTCCATGGAACTAAAGAAGACCTTAAAGTTGAAGGATCGTTTCAGCCATAAAATTATGTTGGAATTCATGCAAACTTCTACCCACAGCCAGAAAAAACAATACTTCACGCAGCTATTCAAATCAGTTTTTATTTATTTTGACATTTTATTACAAGTTTTCATGATCTGTAATTCATTCATGTCAATAAATGTGTTGTTACGAATCTCCATTAGTTTGATCGATAACAGCTTGACTGTGTTGTTAATAGCAGAGTGAACGAAGTATTCTGAAACCAATTAAATTGATAGAACTGACATAAAAAAAGATTAGGATAATATCGCCAGACAGTTTAGTACAAGGTTCAACATACAACAGTGTTTTGTTGCATAATAATGTGAAATGAATATAAAAAAATGAGCCATTATTGGGATTCTACCTTTATCTGGTACCGGTAGTAGACTATCACCCTTTTGGTAAATGTACAAATTGGCGATTTTTATTTGATTCATACAAAAGTGTGACTGGGTATCATCATGCTTTGACTAAATATTTTATCAAACAGTCGATAAACGAAATAAAGTGGTAAATACTTACTCTAGAATCAGTTCTTCAAAGCCTCCTGACGTACCGGCACGATCATTACATAAAACGCCGTGGCTTGATCCCCTCACATTCAGAACTTCTTATGCATTAGCATTTATGATTAACAATAAATTATTGTTTCAATCTTTATTAAACTAAGCGATGAGAAACTAGATTTAAACGCCAAAAACAGAGGCTGAACACCTTACTCGCCAATGGCTAATTTCTGGAATGAGTTCTCACTACTACGTCATCAAAAGCCTTTTTCGAACCTGGGTCGATTTTCGTTGAAGCGGTTTTTAAAAATTCATAAGTAGAATACTAAGTCCACTTTATGCAAGCGGTAAACGTTAAAAATCCTAAAAAAATATATAGAATCAAATTTTCCACAAAAATGTTTGCGTGATAACCCACCTTTAAATGTGCATGTACGTAGTAATCGTACTATAATACATATTTTCATTATCTTCGAGCGATTTTCCGTCATTCCCGCTTTTTGTAACATTTTCCCGCTTGTTAGCAACTTTTCCCGTTTCCCGCATTTTAGGGCCCTAAAATGCGGGAACGACGGGAAAAGCACTAAAAAGCGGGAACTGCGGGAACGACGGGAATTTGCCAATTTGAAATTGCGGGAAATACGGGAAATTTCACAAAAGACGGGGAATGACGGGAATTTGCTTTAGGGCAGGGGTCACCAAACTTTTTTGACCGCGGGCCGGGTATGACTCAAATTGTGTTGAAACGGGCCGGATGAATATTTTTGTCAATGCAATACAATAAATTCACAAATGTTGGGAATATCGCAGAATATAGATCGAGAACATCCTAGGAAAAATAATTAACAAGATTTCTATATCTAGACAACTATCCTGAGTTTAGCTGTTATCAAAACGTTGCTGTCATAATTTAGAAATGTTACAAAATCCGCAGCAAAAAATGTACGCATCACGTCTGCTAAGTACCGTTACGCCGTGTTGAAATACCGCTCATAAAAACGACTGCCTGCTGTAGCTTGGAATTCTATGAAATTTTGACATAATTTAGATAAAATAAACAACTATTATCTGGTATTTGAATTTTTTTCATTAGCACATAAATTTCCCAACATTCGACGCTTTTAAAAATTACGCTCCAGTTATACGTAGTGCAAATTAATGATATTGTCCATGGACACCAATAAAATTTATATGGACATGTGTATTTCTTGTCTAACTTGACACTTACCAATTTTTATGAAGTTCGTACAATCAGAACATCGTTAATTATTACCCACAATGAACCACTGTCAAACTATCATGCACAACTCCTGCGTTTATTTGCGACGATCTTTCGGCGGTGTCAATGACGGTTGCCAGAATAAAATCCTGAAATAGTCTCAATATACCATAGATGTAACGCACATCAAAAGATTAGTGATTGATATGTGTTATTTTTCCATATCTAGTTCAGTTCTTATCAAAAAAGTAATACAATCATTATGGAAAAAATGGCTGTCGGGCGGTACTAAAATTCCGATATCTCCGTTATTTCTTGACCGTTTATTCTAAACTTGGTATTGTTTTCCATTTCTACTCAGATCTTTCCACTGGAGCAGTTTTTATTTAAATCTGATGAACTTCAATTTTTTTGTAACATACCTACATGAATATCCGCATTAAAGCAGTACAAAAGTTAGTGTGGCTTTTGAAATTGGAGCAGTACGCGAGGAGGGATTACAGTACTGTTAGCACAAAATGCACATTCGACGTTTATTTTAGCACAAAAAACAAACAGTTTGTCGAAAGCACGCGCCACGAGTGTACAAGTGTATCGCAGAAAACGTTACGTACTGGTAGCATTCAAAGTCGCAAAAACGAAGTTTTGTTTACAACCACGACTGAAAATCTGTCAGGATGACAAAAGTGTCTGAGCGGATGCGGAAAGGCCAATTATTACGTCACTTTTCTGCATCTTGCCGATTGGCCAATGTTACGAAATAAACAAGGACGACGATGCTCGTGAAAATCTTCCTTTGAAAAAAATTCAGCCATTTTTACGTGTTATTGCGGGCCGGATAAAATGACGTCGCGGGCCGGATCCGGCCCGCGGGCCGTAGTTTGGTGACCCCTGCTTTAGGGTATGGGAAAATATTTATTTTAGAGTATGTGTGGGGTAAATATGCATTGAATAGCAAAAGCAACGGCAAGTTTATACGGCGCTCCCGAAGTATGTGCAACAAGATGACGCACAACCTGAACATAGTATGTATACCAGGTTAGAGTTCAGGTTGAGCGTCATCTTGTTGCACATACTTCCGGAGTCCCGTTTATACTTGAGTGTGCATGTACGGGGTAATTGTACTAACATACATATTATCCGAATCTTAGAGCAATTTCCCGTAACTCCCACTCTTTGTGAAATTTTTCGCTTTTTAGTGAAATTTCCGTATCCACACAACCCAAGCGTATATTTCCCGGGTAACCCCAAAATGCGGGAAACGGGAAATGCGGGAACGATGGGAAATTGCAAAAACTAAAATGCGGGAACTACGGGAAATTTCACTAAAAAGCGGGAATGACGGAAAATCGCTTTAAGGTACGGGAAATATTCCTTTTGGGGTATGTTTAGGGGAAATTGTTCTAGAAAGCCAAAGCAACAGTAAATATACGCTTGGGGGTGTATGTACGTGAAAATTTATCTGAAATGCGGGAACGACGGCAAATCGCTTTAAATTACGGGAAACACTCATTTCAGAGTATGTTTAGAAGAAATTGCACTAGAAAACGGAAGCAACGGGAAATATACGCTTGGGTTGTGTGGATACGGAAATTTCACTAAAAAGCGAATAGTTTCACAAAGAGTGGGAGTGACGGGGAATCGCACTAAAATACGAATAATATGTATGTTAGTACAATTCCTCCGTACATGTACACTCAAGTATAAACGGCACTCCGGAAGTATGTGCAACAAGATGACGCACAACCTGAACCCTAACCTGGTATACATACTATGTTCAGGTTGTGCGCCATCTTGTTGCACATACTTCTGGAGCGCCGTATAGACTTGCCGTTGCTTTCGCTATTCAGTGCATATTTAGCCCACACATACTCTAAAATACATATTTCCCATACCCTAAAGCAAATTCCCGTCTTTTGTGAAATTTCCCGTAGTTCACACATACTCTAAAATACATATTTCCCATACCCTAAAGCAAATTCCCGTCTTTTGTGAAATTTCCCGTAGTTCCCGCAATTTGAAATTGGCTATTTCCCGTCGTTCCCGCTTTTTGGTGCATTTATAAAGTTACTAACAAGCGGGAAAATGTTACAAAAAGCGGGAATGACAGGAAATGAACTTTAAGATACGGGAAATATGTATTTTAGTGTAATTGTCCCGTACATGCACACTCAAGTATAATCTTTCCGTTGCTTCCGCCTTTCATTGCAAATTTACCCCACACATACTCTAAAATGCATATTTCCCATTGCATTGCATTTGTCGCAGAATCTTATTTGCTTGATCTGGATCAAATTCCAACACATTTGATGGTTTCGTAGAAGGCGAAAGTGACCTATCAGCCACATCATCTTGATTTAAGAACTTCAAATGATCAGTAATTGGTGTTGACTTAACAACGTTCTCAGAACTAGATTGAGACTCAAATCCATAGTATAGCACAGTGGATCACGGATATATATGTGTGTATAACGTATGATGTGAATATATTGATGCGTAAATACGTGAGTATGGTGTGTGTAATACGTTATGTGGTTACAATATATTTGTGTCTCCAGCCCAACAGCAGTACTTAAATTTAGCTAAAGACACAAAAACAAGAAAATACCATAATTAGCCTTCGATATACAACTCAATTAGAACTTATATTACTAAATAACCCAAAAATTCTCTAAATATCTTAGCAATCCCAAATTAGCATAATTAAAAACCCTACAATTTGCAAAACAATGCCGCAAAGTAACCGCAGAAGCTAACAAAGAAATTCATGTGACCAGGCCTCATTGCACTGTCTCCGACACTAATAAATAGGACACCCAGTATGATACAATAAGAATAACAGGGGCATGAATACAAATCAGCTGATATAAGAGAGTATTGCACCATCATTGCCAAAACTTTCTCTCGGTAAGGGCTCTTAATATAAACAAACAAACAAATATAGGAGAGCAATTCTAAACATGATTATCGGGACCAGAATAACTAAAATTAATAGGTTAATTCACGAAAGTTGAATTTCTGCCTGTAGCGCAGGATGGATTAAAGTTGTTGGCGTCTAGGGCCACAAAATCATTTTTACATTGTTCGCGGACAACCTTGGACTGGGAATGATTAATCGCTTTAACCGATTTTAGATGGTTAACGGTTAAGATTTATTTTAACCGTTAACTGATATCTCAGGTACAAATCGTCTTTATAATGTACAATTCCTTCAAAAATCATCGTCATCGCAAATTTACCTCCCGTGGCGTTTAATTCAAAAGAATATCACTAACTAACTGTATTTATAAGGATCCAATAATTGTGAAAAATAATTGAAGTACCAACAACCAAGATTGCTGATTATGAAAATTTGACAATGATATTTTCAGAATCAGTTTTCGGCCGAAAGATATTGTTCACGATTTTATTGCAAAATGGTATATTCAATGTCATCCAACAAGTGCGCAGTTGATGTTGTTTTTCTTTATGATATCTCAAAGTAGATTTGCACATGTTCGAATCACGCTGCTTATCTCTTGCAGCAGAGCGAGAGAGAGAGAGAATTTATTGTTTCGTCAAACCAGAAAACACATACAATATATATATGATAGCAAAATGAGAAAAATTAGGTTTCGGTAGATGACAGGGTGGTAACGATACGACCATTAACAATCATCTGAGTCGGTTACCCCCCAAAGCAAGCACATGAATAAATAAATTAATAACACAGGTTCTGTAATATTACACTCTCAGGATATACATATGGAAAAAAAACTATATACCTACACTATGTAAAAAAATGATATCTGATTAGAGATGAGATAAATTTCCAATCGGGATTAGGAAGTTATTTAAATAAATTTTAAATAGAGAAGAGCGAAAAATAAGAATTTCATACCAAATATATTATTATTTAGTATAATAATTTACACTTTCAATCTGTTCTGAATCTTCTTTTGTGCTTACACATGATAAAATATAAGGGATAAGATCACAGGGAAACTGAAAGTTCTATAAGTGACAATAATGTGTTGTGTGAAGAAAACCATATATTGAGATATGAATTATAGGCATAACTGTAAAACAATTTTATATTTTCAATTCATTAGGGTGAAGAAAAAAAAGTAGAATGCATATGGAACTTCTGCGAGATTTACACATTACTACGCAGAACAAGTATTAAGATGGGAAACAATCAGATTGGCATTGCAACCCTTCACAATTAATTTAGAAATAGACAAATATGACTATGGATTGAAATAGATATGTGATATTGAATAAATTTTGACAAGGCTGGGTCAAATTAAATCACGATAACCCAAAATATATTTCGTCTTGTAGTAATTTATTGTATACACGAGGTTTAGAGATTCTGAACAATTAGCAAATTTGTCTATACCACTATTGCACATTAAATAAAAGAATATTGATCACATTAAATTCATTACTCAGTATAATACTACGTAAATATATATATTAGATTGAGGCCCTTCTATAATCGTGAAACTATCTTGATTCGTGAATAATTTTGAGCGATATCGGGATAAAATCAGGCGAAATGAAGTTGTTTCCATTGTGACGTAACAAGCCAAAATCATAAATTATTACGTGAAACGTCACGCCTCGCTTAAAGAGTTTTCCCTGAAATTCTCAGCCCTAGCACTATACTAATAGATTCATCATTCGATATTTAATTTTTTTTTAGCGCGGATATTCTGACCAAAAAACTAGTTTGCGCTGACCAGCGCTAATAGATTGTTCATTCCATATTTAGTTTTCTTTTGGCGCGGATATTCGAGACGATTCGTACATTTATCATTGATATTATATCATTACTTTACATTGTGCAATATACATAAATTACCTTGGCAGGAACAGACAATGATGACAACGATTTCGGGTGTGGCATAATAAATGTATTCTGTACTTTAATTAGGCTTCGTGTAGGCCAATATGTACTGAGAATACTTGCATCGATCATGTTAATAGCAACAGGGGAGCAATGCTCCACAATATGGACAGCATGACACGCTCAACGCTCACTGTCAGTCCCCTTTTTTCTTCCTAATTCGCATTTCGAATGAAACTCAAACTAGGACTTCAAAGTGTTCGATCAAACCCTGATTCAGATACGTATTTCTGAAATGTTTTTTTCCGCCATTCAACAGAAAATATGAGTATATATTACTGATATATATATTTATCAAAATATGAATCCATCTTTAATTATGGTGTACGATGACTTCTACAATTAATCATTAACGAAGTCGTTATTGCCTAATAAAAGAATATTGGAAAACGCTACAAAATAGCGATAGTTGTTAAAGCGATAGCGATAGTATTTTAAATAGGATATTAGATCAGGCGGTATTTTGTTATCTTATAAAGCGGTACTTTATCTTTATAAAGTGAAAAACGTATTGTTAACACAAATTGTTGAAGTGTTTTACCTATGAACCCCATTCATGTTATTGACTCCGGGCTAAAACGAAACTGAGATGAAATGTCGTACAGTGCTACACGAGCCGTTGTAATTAAGTAATATGTGCGAAAAACTCCTTGCAGATATTTGAACAAAAATTGAATTATATGTAAATTCTCTCAGGACTTCGCAATTTTAAAATTCTATTCTTAGAACGTCATTCTCGTAAACGTAAGTTTGTGAAGAAACTTTTCTTCGCAAAAGTCTATTTGATGAAGCATATATAGCGCTGAGAGTGACTTCAAAAGACTCCCTCAGCTTTACGATTGGTTCATACTTGGACTTCTCAATCTTGGGCTATTTTCTTTAGGACTATGTATCTTCTTATTCTTTAAACTACGGTACCCACGACAAGTAAATCTAATCTTGATATATTTCAGATGTAAATTTGAATTTTTTCATTACTGAAAAAGTAATCGATGGTTTTATAGATACAGAAATTCATTGGTTTAAGTGATTTACAATTAATTTCCAAAATAAATTTACGAAAGACTCATTAAATTTATGCCGATGAAGATACAATTATACGTATAGAATACAATGTTAGTGGTATAATTCACTTTGACAAATGACAATCATACAAAATGTCATTTATTTTGACTTAAAAGTCTTTCAAATGTCGACATTGCTCTTTTGTATTTATCTTTTGTTTCAGCAATGAATAAAACGTGGTCGTTTGAGCCATGCATCTCTGCCACGTAAACATCTGCACACGAGCTTTTAGTCAGACGTATCGCTTCGGTAAGTTGCCGACTCCCAATCACACTCTTGTAGCGCTCCTTCAAATCATAGGTGCCTTGAGGTGTTTTTTCCTGAGCGTAGTTATAAAGCTTCTGGAATTCATCAATTGCAGAATCTGGGTCAAACTTATGGTCAGCTGATAGACGATGTAGTCGTATGTTCAAACAATCACCAATTGTTTGAGTATCCAATCGCACACCGTTCGAGCCCCTGTATAATAATATGAGCTCAGCTAGAGCCATTCTAGATCTCAATAGATACAACAAGGTTGCTTACTACTCAATGACGATTATAGTTGGATAAAGCAAAAAGCACGTTAAATACGGAAAGTTTTAATAAAATTCGATCGATTGGCATCCATCGATATTTAAATTTGATCTGTGTTTGTTTTACTCAGGCTCAATCACAATAGAACATGCATATTTCACATTGGTCTCACATGGTCATGCAAATATAAGATTACGCTTAATCTCCGCATTAACACTTTGAATAATCTGTTGATACGTTGTGTCTATGGAAAAACTTTACCATTAACGATATTCTCACCAAATTCTATCGAGTGTACTGCGTCGAGTAAGTTCAAGATATCCAAAAATATCTGTGTCGACAGAAATCATATTTTTATCTTTCTCACCAGTGGGTCCACCTGAATTGCCTAAATAAAATATGAAAAGATTCAGAATAAACTATAAATCCACTGAAATTACATAGATTTAGAAAAAAATTTAGAATCGTAGAAATATACGAGTATGTAAATTGTAAAACATCACAGGAAAAATATCCCCCTTATGTGGTGTAGAATTTCAGTTTGCACTCACCCGGACTCAACTTTATTAAATTATTTATAACTAAAAAAGTCCAATACATTCGTATATATGAGCAATATACACTAATTAGCTACCTTGATTCGGGTTATTCATCATTTTTTCTCGATCCAGAAAGTGTTTGAACATGTCCAACGCCATCCTGCATTTTTCTTGATTCGGGGCAGTGAATATGATGGTGCATGGTGAATCATGTACTCGATCCATGTGTACTTGGGGAAACTCGGGACGAAGACTAGCGAAAATTCCTTCCAGTGCTTCTTTAGTTAAATTCGAATCGATTTTGGTTGTATCTTGAGCGACAGAATTTGAAACTTTATCATGAAGAGCATTCAAAGATTTTTCCGCTTTTTTAGGGTTTCCATCTGAAGTTGTAGGAGTGAGAACAATTTTGGATGCGTCGCCCACCACATTTTCGTTCATGCCAACGTCGAATTTCTTTCTAAAATTATATAAATATATATATATTGTGTTGGCATATAAGATTTATTTATTATGCCAAGAACACTAATTTATCCATAGATAAAGATATCTGAATTAAGGAGCATCTATGTTGTTAAATTGTGGCCTTGGCAAACATTATTAATTTTAACTTTTCAGTTATTGATCATAGCTTACCTACATGGTTACTACTTTTGTTCAAAATCCATTTATTTTAAAGTAACAAACGTTTTCGATGGCCATAAAAATTGTACTGGACAACCAACCAAATAGTATCAAGGAAATAAATACGGTTTCTCACTTGATATCATCCAAATCCGAAGAATGAACAAGTTTCATATATGCGAACATATCCTTATCTATCACAGTTGATACAACTTCCTGGGTTTTGATTGGTTGTTGTGGTTGTTGTTGTTGTGGAGTAGGCATTACTACTGGCTGGAGCGGAATGCTGGGGACCTCGTGAAACACATTTCTTGACAAATAACCACTTTCTGGAGCCATTTTAGGTCCCATATTATCCAGATTTTGTGATATCATATTTTCAATTCTTTCAAAAACGGCTTGCATTTGATACCATTCACCTGAAAATGCAATATACTTGAAATACTGATTGTTTAGGTCAATACATCCAAAACTGGAACAAAACATGAATTTCAAGAATTCCCCAGATTAGAGAAAACAAAAATGAAAGTCGTTCGTTATTTGTTTTAATGACACTCTGCTTTACATATTACCACGTCCTATATTAATAGCATTATTTTATGAAGTCATGCTTATCTGCTTAACATTCATACTCAACCAATTTTATAGAAGCAGTACCTTCAGCATTATACCCTTGTCCACTGCCCACGGGAGTGATATTGCACCCAGTGGAATCCATGATACTTTCAAGTTCATCTTCGACATCGCCAGATTTGATTTTTAACTGTTGAATGACGTAGTCGGATATTTTCGCGGTGACAGTCTCGAATATTCGTGGCTGCCAAAATGATGAATATAACGAATGGACCTCAAATATATTATAACCCCCAGTTGTTAACGGACAAAACTCTTAGATTTTATTATTGAGAAAATTGACATGAAATCTACACTAACCAAGGGTGCGACTATGGGACCATTATGAATGAGGTCTGAATATGACTAACAAGTAAAAATACACGCAGAAATTTAAAATACTTACTTACGCCTTTATTAAATTTTGATATCGAATCAATCAATCGAATACTTACTTACGCCTTTATTAAATTTTGATATCGAATCAATCAATCGAATCGTTTTTTTATTAGCCATGCGGGAAAAGCACAATAAAATGAAAAGCAAGAGAAATCCCGGAATATAGGTATATGTATATATAATCTTGACTTGGCCCAGAATGGACACGATAACATCGAAATGACTTCGGTTTATTTGTCAGCGGCTATCTTGCAATAACTGTTATAATGAATAAAACAATACAAAGTTACCACAACGCAAACGCTTTTATGTTGACAGTTATGCTATCCTATTTTGTAATTATAATTCTATTTTATTTATATACATACCCGCGGTTGCAGAGGGCTTACAGAAACTGTCTTCCCCGCTATTTTGTGTGTGTGTTGAAGAACGGACGGAACAGCTGAAAATCGAAAATATTTGTAATATAGTTATCAGCTCTAGCCATTAGCAAAGTATGATAATACATTCATTTTCAATAAGTAATCACGTTGATACTTTTTGTAATCGCTAGCCAATCACGTATGCGAGTGACGCTTTGTTTGCCCATCGTACATAATGGCGAAACACAGTCAATATTTCGCGATTACGTGACGACTGAAGCGAAGCCATGTCCATACTGTATTACAAAATGAAACACGTAGCAAATTGGTCGATTATGAAGCCTTTCCTTCCGTAACAAAATAACTTTGCTGACGAATATCTACGTTTCCGTGAATTTAGGCCTGACATAAAATGACGTCATAGTTTTGCCAGTCGCTATCTGTTAATTATTTGTTCGCGGCGGTGTTTGGCGCTCAGAGTTGGTCTGGCATACGATGTGAAACTACCGTTATCTGTACTTACTTTCTTGCTCTTCAAAGGTGATTATTGCAGTATCACTCTCTTGGTTTGATAAGGGAAAAGTCACTGATTGAACGTCACCCCCGCCGACATTTTTCTTTTTCTGGAAGTAGATCGTAAGTTTGTCCGAACTAACGTTCGATGGAATGCCTTTAACGACTATTTTATTCGAGGTAATATCTTGGCTTGGCGTCGAACTAGCCATAGTTGCCGAAATCCTCGACTATAATGCAACAAATACCTATAGACGTTACAAAAGAAACGGTCGATAAAAGCTGTGCGTTGAGAATATCAACGGACAAACTTCCTGTTCTTGCTGCGCATTGATCCGTGTAGTCTCAGTCATGGGGATTTCCCCAGGTATCGGGTGCGTAGCTTCACCTACATTGCTCAACAGACTCTGGTACTCGTTTGACTTATCTCCGACCAATAAGACGGGCAAAATACATTTATGCAGAGATGGCGCGCACACGATGTGAAAAACAACGTTCTGATCGTGTTGTAATTTGGATTTTTACCTCCGACTTCCATGTGGACTACATGCAATCGCCCATTAGCAAATCTGTAGTATAACTATATTCGTAAGAAACGCTGACTTACGACGAACACAAATAAATAAGCGCACATGAAGCATAATTTCGCGGCCATATTGAATCTCTATCCCACTGCTACTAATTATCATGGAAGTGTTTGTATTGCAAGGTGACTTTTCGTACGCAGTGTGCGATAAAGTAATAAAAGCAAGCTGCAAAAGCGCAAATGGCAAGGACACGGCAGTAATTCGAAAAAAAAAAATCTTCATGAGTGTGTATGGTAACTAATCTATCTCAAGATGCAATCATTACAATGCAAACCAACAACTTCACAACAGAAAGATAACTCAGTTGCAGACATCGTTTATTTTGTACAAACTACCAATATAGGACAATATCGAGGAACTTCCCCCTTATGTTAATCTACCCAAAGAAATCCCTTCAGACATAAAAGAAACCCAAAAGATGGTTAATTTTTCAACAGAAAATTGGTATAACTGCTTTCAAGCAAATCATGATAAAAAATATTGAATTCAAGTTAGTATGATTAACCAGGAATGAACCAATTACAGCCAAAAAAGTGATTCCAACAGACGTTCCCTGGGGATATGAGGCACAATGACAATGTTTCTCAGTTTTCTCTTTAGTCTGACTCGCTGCCACTTTCTCCACCTTCAGATTCATGAACGTTCATCTCTAATTTGTATTCTTGATCACACCCCATGAAAGCATCACTCATGAAGTACAAGGTGTAAGAATGAGTGCCGGCTGATGGTGGGATAAAATCTAGTTTGACCTGAACACACAAAAAGAACCATTAATGTTAAAACTCTCGCCCGTAAACGACTTTGAATTCCTTCAAACAACCACCAATAAGGAGAGCAGAAAAAAATGTCTTTCAAGCCCAGTTGTGTCTATAGATATAGGAATTGTTGGGACTTTCAGGTCAGAGAATTCTTTTTAGATCCCATGTCATGGTAAATATCTCAACCAAATCTTATACACCAAATCAAACCTTTTAAAATGTTAGAAAAATAACAGAAAAAATCCCACTGAGCAAGGTGTACATACATGTGCTTATAAACGAGTGGAATCATTTACCATTTTTGTTTTGTTGAATGTAGTATTAAAAGAAAATATATAGACCATACCTTCGCCTTTTGCTGCAGAGTTAGCCGTTTGATGGAAATAAGGCTGTTGGTCTTGGGATCTCCAACAACCACCCACCATCCTTCCTCACGTTTTTGAGGGAAGAAAGGTGCAATTACTGGTCCAGATACTTCATCTTCTCTTTCCAAAGTAACAACCACAACAACTGGATGACCTCTGAAGAAATTAGTAAAAGTTAATAGAGTCAAAATTTGATAATGATTGTACAATTGCAATCATACAATTACAAAGCATTGTTCCGTTTATAATTATAAAACAATGATGTTATAGGCTCAAATGCACATTCTAGCTGACAACCTTAGAAAATTATTGGCTACTTATTTTTTGGGAATATTACAAGGGCCATATAAGCATGGCACAATTTGGGCCAGAAAATACTGAGTACTTCCAGCATATCTAATAACAAAATGTGATAAGTAGATGACATTTGAATAGATAGATTTATTTTGTCAAGAAAAATAATGATAAATGAACCTACGCTCTTAAATTATCGTCGTCCAATACATCATAAGTCAGTTCAATATTTGGGTATCTATTGCAAAATCTTGCAACATCGGCCATCTGTGGTTCCGTCATTCCCAATAAGGAATTTCTGTCATCATCTTCCATCTCTAATATGTCGAAAACACTTTCAATGTCCTGATAAAAAAATCATTTTTAGAATATTAATTAGAATTGACTGTTTCAAAAAATGTACCCATAACACAAAACAGTTATAGCTGTTAAGTGTTATGAACTGCTACATAAACGAGAATATCGGTTGGAAACCGAAGACTTATCGATCGATAGTTAGGGGATCCCCCAAAACAGAAACTGCAGTTTCGATTCATCCGCTCTTGTAACTTGCGCACTGCGCATCGCACACACACACTTGGCGGGTCTCAAAATTCTCTCGCTTTACAAAAATCTAGATCACTATATCAATATTTGATTGATAACTCGCTAATTATACGACATAATTCGCCCAAAATCAATAGGCTTCTGGTCCGAGATAAGATGAATGCACATGCAAAATCTGGAGCATCGGTGAATTAAAATCGATAAGTAATAACTAATAAGACAATTCGAATTATACTCTAACACCAACCTTTTCTGTGCATCTTCTGATAACATTTGGATCAAAGTGTGGTAACTGTTTCAAATAAGAATCCTTGCTCCACATTGCTTGTGTCACCATTTGTGCAAGTTCCATGGCAGCTAGTGCAGGTGACAACCAACCATTTGATGATAAAACATCGACACAGGCTTGAATCAAACGAACAGATTTGCTCAATATACCTTCTGTGTCAGATTGAAGTTCAGCGGGAAGTTGAAGCCGAGACAAATGTGCCTAAAAGAGAAAGATCAAATTAAACCTTTGACAATGTATTTGTGTAAATGTGAAGTTATAATAAGTTAATGACAGCTTTTATCAAAAATTATGAATAATAATATGAATTCAGTGCCCTATTATTACTCAGTATAGAAAATGTTTATAGAGTTATCAAAAAGACCTGCAGAAGCAAGTTGGTCTTGATATGTGGATCGGTGAATCTAACATTCTGTGGTTTGTATGGAACTTTATCCAGAAGTTGTTTGAGAGTTCCATCTTCTCGATGGCGTATTTGTATTGCTTCATATTCTGCCGCATTGCTGATAATTTCTATCAATCCACGAATCTTGGTTTTGGCATTCAAAGACATGCTGAACAGCTCTATAGTGGTGTAGTTGATATAGTAGTAAGCAGAAATCATAGCCAGATTCAGAGGTGAAACATCCATGTCATCTTCTATTGCAATACACTTAGACTGCTCCAAGTCAGAAAGTGTGTTTTCAACAAGCTCTGACAAGCTGTCAGAAAGATGACGATGTGAAACTCCCTGAAAAATAATAAAATATTGGGTGATTGAATGGGTGATTTCTACTTCATAATATGGCCCAGGTAGTTGTTTATTGCTTGATTTGAAAATGTTTTTTCTACCATAATACAGCACAAAACAACAATATGGTTTGAAATTTTAAAAAAGTCCTGAGAGATACATTTCGTGTGAATAACATTATGATTTATTTAATATTAGCTCATTTAACAAAACCTGTAGATAGAAATATTGAATAATATATTTCAGCCACTTCATACTAAATATTAGTGTTAAGGCTGTGCTTATTTGTTGCAACCTGAGAAGCGATATTAGAAAGCACACATTGTGAGTCATGCTTCACAATAAAAATAATACTCAACTGTCGTCGAGTACCCCTGGAAATCTACCAATAAACCCTTGGCGACTAATAATCACCGGTTTAAAATATCTAGTATATAAAACCTGCATGCATCATCATATCTCACCTGCAAATTATAATAATTTGGATTCTGAGTCATCCTACGATACAAAAAAGTCCATGTCATGTAATCAACTGCATCCTGTTTGTTTTCTATTGTTTTGGTGACAATTTCAGCATTGAAGTGATCATGTAAGCAATGATCAAGATGAGATTCTACAGGCAGGGGTTCGTAGACAAATTTCTTGAAAAAATCTTTTTTCGAGCCTTGACACATGATCACACATTTTCCTTCTTCATCCTTGAGAGGTCGATTTGCTCTTCCGATCATCTGAAGTACATCGGTAACAGGATAGTCAACATAAGCATGAATTTTTCCATTGTAGTATTGGGTGTCCATCACAATTACTAAGTGAGCAGATACAGTCAATGCCCAACACAAGCTACGTGATGCTACAAGTATTTGAACAGCTCCTGATGAAAATAACTGATCAACGACTTTTCTTTCCATCTCTGTTGTGCCATCGTGTAAATAAGCCACACCATTAGACAGTGTCTCCTTTAATGTATCATCATTCACATGTTCCAAGTATGGAGCCAGATCTTCTTCTTTGCAATGGAGAAATTTTTGGGGTTGTCCATCAGCTGCGGCAAATGTTAACATGTCAACAGCACTAAGTTTCGATTGCTTACGAGAAGTAACAAATATGATGACAGATCGTTTCGGGGAATGTTTAACAACTGCATTGTACACTGGTTTTGACATACTTAGCAATCTTGACTGAGCATGACTAATGTTGAAGCCTTGAATATGGATTTCCAAAGGAACTGGTCGGACATTCGGATGGAAGTTAAAAGTGTGAGTGGCACTGCAACCCAACCACTGAGCAACATCCTTTGCGTTTGCAAGAGAAGATCCGAGAGCTACAATCCTGATTTGTCGCTCAAGTTGAGAAGAGACATATCGCATTCTTGAGCAAACAACTTCTAATTCAGGTCCTGCTTCACCTCCAATCAGATGAATCTCATCGACAATGAATAACGAGACATTTTGCACATTTTTCCTTTGCTTCCATCTTCTAGAAAGAACATCCCATTTCTCTGGAGTAGACACTACAATATTTCCTTTGGCAATGAGCTTAAGATCAGTGCTTGTTTCTCCAGTTAGTAGGACAACACGTTTGCCAAGATGAATTTCAAATTTTTCTCTCCAATCTTGATAAACAATTTCAGCAAGAGCATCCATTGGAGTGACATAAACACATCTGGCTTCAGGATTAACTGCCAATGCATGCATGAGTGCAAATTCAGCACAAACAGTTTTCCCACTACCGGTTGGAGCTCCAATAAAGATGTTATCATCACTATTATACAAAGCATTGAAAACTTGTGTCTGAATAGGGTTAAAGCATGGAAACTTATCTTCAAAAAGTGCTTCAAATTCTGGGTTTCTGAGAGCAGATACGGGCAAAGGTTGGAGGTCAAGTAACTCTGTTGGTGGAGGGTATTTCTCAGGAAGAATGAGATGACGGAAAGATACTGGGAGTTGTGTTTCTGATGATAACCACCTATCTGACACAATTCGAATGAAATATTGTGGTGGAAGTGGTTCAAATACAGGCACAAAGAAGTTGACAATATGTTCATCCGTAGAATACTTGTTTTTGAGCAGAAAATATTCATGGTGGAGAATTATTTCGCTGTCAACATCTTCCACAAATATCCAAAATGCTTCTGAAGACCTGTGAGTGTTTTCATTCCATTGAAAATCCGGAGTGATAGTGAGTTCCACTCGAAGAGTTGATCTGGTAATTGGTTGGATGTGAACAGACAATTCCATCTTGGGAAATTGATGTATAAGTTTGTGAAGAACTCTCCCCATTTTTGGCATCCTGATGAGCTCTCCAATTTCATTATGATTCAAGTCATAGAAACGTTCCCAGGGAAAGTTTTTTTTTTCAATTTTTTTAACCACCTCATCTGGTACTTTCTTGAATTGACGCAATGGACTCATTGACTGCCACATTCTACTTTGTATCATTTTGCACAATGATAGACATTTATCAGTAAGTTGGGCCCAACCTCTATAAAGCACAATTTCAAAAATAGCTCTCATCAGTCGACCAGCAGACTGTGTTACGTAGACCATATCAGCCATCAATGCAAACCCTTCCAATTTGAGCTGTGAAATGTAAGTTTGCAATAAAACATTAATTTTGGCAGTCGGCTCATCTATTCCTTCTTTGACTGGAATAGGCACTCGTTCCAAAAGCTTTTGCAGTTCCAATTTTTCTTCTTCACGAACTGCTATGTATTTGAACTCAGAAGAAAGTGAAAAAACTCGAAACAATTCAATCTCACTCAGAGTAGGTTTCAGTAGTTGGTTGTATGTTGCCATGCTCTCATGGGTGCAGTAATAATGACTAGCAATCCGGCCCAAATCTGTCACTTGCAAGTGCCCAGTTTTTCTATCATATTTGACTAAATTGCTTTTATCTAATATGTTTGCAGCAGAATGAATCAAGTCAACTCGATGTTGTTGTAAAAGAGGATCAGCCTTTAGTGCATCATGACTTATGGAGTATAAAGTAGGCTGTCGAAGCATTCTAATGTATAGGTAACTGTACCCAAGCCAGTTCACAGCATCTCTGACATTCTGAACATTACCCAGCACAATTTCAGCATTCAGCATATCTGGCAGTTTGGCAACCATTTGACTTTCTACAGGCAATTGTTGATTCAAAAGCGACAAGTAATATTGCAATTCACTATGAGATGTAATAAGAACACCTTCACCCTTGGTGTCATATTGTGGCCTACCAGCTCGTCCCATCATCTGAAGTACATCAAGTGCACCCAATTCAACCCATCTACCTTTTTCTGGACTGTACACTTGTGTGCCTTTGATGATGACAGTATGAGCAGGTAAGTTGACACCCCAAGCAAGTGTGGCAGTTGAAACAAGTACCTGAATATGACGGTCAGCAAATAAATCTTCAACCAATGTTCTGTCAACTCTTGACATTCCAGCATGATGGATTGCGAAACCGTATGGCAGAAGATCTTTCAATTCTAAATTCTTTACTTGCTCAGATTCTGTTCGTAAAACTTCTGTGGAAGCGGATCCTTCTCTCAAAAAATGTCCTAGAGTGTCATTTTCCAAGCACATATCTCTAACAGCACGAGCAGTTTTTCCAGTTTCTTTTCGTGAATGAACAAAAATCAGAACTTGATTTTTACCTGCATTTTCAACAACTTTTTCATAAACAATTTCATTCATAACCTGAAACCTCTTGATTGCTTTCTTTTCTGTTATGCCAATGTATTGCTGTTCTAAAGGACATGGTCTGAAACTGTTGTCAAAGAAGAACAACCCTTTGGAGGGATCAACACGCAAGAATGTGGCAACATCTTCATAATTTGGTAAAGTAGCAGAAAGTCCAACAAGTCTGACATCCTCTTGAGTTGTTTCGATGGATCTAATTGTCCTTGCAACAACAGACTCCAGGACAGGACCACGATCATCATGAAGCATGTGGATCTCGTCAATAATCAACAGACGTACCAGCTGTGTGTATGTTCGTTCACCACCTTTTCTTGTCACAATATCCCATTTTTCCGGTGTGCAGACAATAATTTGTGTGGCATTGATTTCTTCTTTGCAAAGCTGATGATCACCTGTCATTTCACTGACCTTGATGCCATAAGCGGCAAGCCGTTTTCCGAAATTTCCGACCATTTCTTGTACCAGTGATCTCATTGGAGCGATGTATATTATTTTAAAATCATTAACATTAATCGTTCCATCAGAATTGATGTGCTTGCCAATTTCTCTCAACATAGTCAAGAGTGCAACATTTGTTTTTCCAGCGCCAGTGGGGGCACACAGCAAAATATTCTCATCACTTTCTAGTGTAGTCTTGGAAAGTCTACTCTGAATCCTGTTCAAACTTTTAAATCCTTCAAAAGCCGCTTGGGCATACTTGGGTAAAGTATCAATCGGAACAAGTTTTTCATCATCGGCAAAAACTTTTGGTTTTAAAGCAGGTACATGCACTTCTTCGTAACCTTTACGTTGTTTGCGATAAGAACCATCTGGTAACTGGCATTTTTTATTTGCCATCAAGTGAGATCCTTGCTCAAACATGATATCTTCAAGATCAACCCCTTTGCTTGGCTGTAAAGTTTCATCTGTCTGGTCAGTTTCCATTGCTTCTAGATCAGCATCAACCTTGCTTCTGCGTAATCTTTCTCTGCGTTCTTGTTCTTCTTTAATGATATCTTCTTTCTCAGTTTCGTTCAGTTGCTGGAGAATCACTGACAATTCTTGATCGTTCTTCATTCTATCTTCAATTTGTTTTTTTGCAGCTTCACTTTGTGCACTCGCAAGTAAAGTGCAATATAGAATCATTTGTCGATGTTCACGCAAAATTTTGATAAAATCAAACTGATTGAAACCGAGCAACATTACCAATTGATTTTCACATTGTAAATCATCAACCGCAGTCTTTAAAATTTCCAAGACTTCTTCTGCTTTTTTTTGCGAAACGATTGCATCATCATAAACTTTGCTCAAATTTCTTTGCAGCCAATAAGCATCAACATCACGAGGATGTAGTCCACGATTCTTAATGATATTGACATTTCCGGCTTCGTTGGTGAGATTAGCAGAAACAACCATATTCGCATCTGCCTCTACGCCACCTTCTTCATCATCATCTTCATTTTCAGATTCCTCCTGAACTTCACCATACCTGTTTTCTTGGTCTTCTTCTTCATCATCCGATTCAAACTGGACGTTGACACCATATGTTTCATCAATGTTATCATCTGCGGTTTCAGCATCCTTATCTGTGCCGAAGTCGGTAATCTTTTTGCCCAAATTTACCAAAACATGATAGCGAGTATCTTCTTGAACTCCCAACAGTGATTGAACTTCTTTTCGTCTTTCCTTATCACGCAGTTTATCATTCTTAAGAACAATTATCACTTCGTCAGCTGCGCCACAAAGAATGTCTCTTGGTTGGTCACCCAATGCAGCCTGGATAAAGCTGAGTAAAATCTCGTACGTTTCTCTAGTTTCTTTTGTTTTTGGTTTATATAATATATTAACCATCTCATCCATTCCCTCAGATAACAGAGTTGCTCCTTTCAATTTCACAGAAGATTTTTGATCCTCGTCACGCTTGTATCGCTTTGCTCGACGCTCTTCCATCTGTGGTGGTCTTGTACGCTGCGCTCTATCACCCATTTTTGATCCAGTTAATTTTCCCTGCAATGAGATGACTTCTCCTGTCGGCTCATCTCTTGGTCGTCTATCAATGAGTGATCTGTCTGCTTGCAATACAAGATTAGAATTGGCTTTGTATTCATATTGCAGTGAACGGGCGGAGGCATCCGCCATGCTGTTTTTTTATTGACAGCGATTCCTCTACAGATTTAATATATCTGTGGTAAAACATAAATAATAACATGTGAAAACGGTTGATGCAGTTTTTCTAAACAAATTCAACTAGCAAAGCATATTGTATGTATTGCCCCACTCATAACCTCCGTCTAATAGTAATTTATGTGATTCTGCACAACAGTCTTATACTCTACTGCTCTATGAGAGTGATGCTCTAATGTATGACAGGGAGAATTAACAACTTTCCTTAGGTACAGATTTTTGCAAGCTTTTAAACAGTTTGAATGTTCATTTTACAATATTTAATAAACTTTGTTCAACTAATATGTCACTAACAAATTTTTCATTTGCTTAATTTTTCAATTACCCTTCAGCACAGGAAAATCTGTAAATCGCTATTTATATAAAAGGGCATTCGAGTCCATACTTGTTTGAAATATGGTTTAATCTTATAGCATAACCAGGCCTTTCATCCGGTCCAGCGGTCACCAGCCCATGTCGTGTATACTCTATGGGATTAGTCAGCCAGTTATTTCTTTAAGTTGCATGGACTTGATGGTGGCGGGATCCATGCCTAACCGACGTCCCCCACAAAATTGGATATCGTGAATTCTGGAATTACCCCTGCTTGGGGTAATACAGTACCGCTACGAACCTAATCAGCGTATTCCTAACCCTTAGCATGATGACTTACACTTCCGAGGCGGCGCGGGTACTGTATTATTTATATCTGTGACTGTACCGTAGATATACTGAAGATGAACAAATGCCTGTGTCATGCAATCTCAAGTGTACCGTATTTCTCAGTTTCTAGTAAATCACAGTGCTCCATGGCATTACATGTAGACGTGAACATGAAATAGACTAAACTTTTCATTGAATCACTGACACGAACTAAAGTGTCAAAATTATTTACAATTTTTGACAAAGAGGAATTTTCGTGTGTTTGCAATGTTCTAACCAAAACCTGAAAACGCTAAATTACCGTTTTTTATTTTTTGCTAGCGCACACACACCAAAACCAAATTCTGCAACAAGTCTCGATGTTTTATATAATCTATATCGATAAAGCCTTGGTTAGCCATGTGATAAAGACGTCTCTCCCAATACTGCAATACCACAAAAAAATCTCATAATTATACCTATAACAATAACGCGTGTGGGGGATCAGAAACTTTCAAAAACTGAGAACGCACGACAAACGTCGGCATGATGTGCGCGGAGTCAAGGAAATCACACCTAATTGCCGGATAATGATGACGACAATTTAGGTGTAACAGACTCAATGTGAGAACCCCCTTCACACTGAAACTTTACATATATGCATCGAGCTGACACAAAAAGTTACCACAGTGTCCAATGAGATAATAAAAACTAAAATAATGCAGAGAAAATGCACAGACCCGAAACCAGTGGAAGAGTCCACGCGCGGTATCATCATCACTTTGTATTTTGTAAGTAGAAGTTTATTTCAACTCCATAATCAGCACAACTGGTGATAAAATTATTGATAAAACAAATAAAAAAAAACTGTTTATCTAAAAAACCTTGTTCCTACTTAAAAGAGGCTGATTCACACAAGTATAGGATTTGAACCTAAACCAAGCCAGCTTCATGAATATATAACATGGGCACAGGCTAAAATTGCCTGGTACACAAGCTACATTCTGGTGTCCGCCATCTCGGTACGCATCCTTCAGAAGTGCCAAATTTTGAACTGAACATCACGAGGCTACCCAGAACTAAAGCTGGTTTCACGGATGCGGTTTTAACAGAATCGTAACTTGCTTATAAAGCTTGACATTCATGTTTGTATGAGCTCTGCTTTACTATGGTTCCCCCATGGTTTACTAAGAAAAACAGCAAGCATGCTTTACAAATACTTCCTTGTGCATTTAATAAAACAATCAAAAATATTAGCAGTTAATCGGTCACATACAAATTTCATACTATAGAACCGGCAATCAATATAAAGTTTGTATACAACGGAAATGGTAGTGAAAAAATTCAATTTGTGACAAAAATCCTATTCAGTGGAATAAAAACTTTCGAAGATATAGATGCAACGACATCTAACGAGGGGACTTCCACAAAGTAAAAATATGTTTCTATTGAGCTTCCAGTTGGTATAAGCATGTCCAAAATGAAATAAGAACACTTCAAAAATGCAGAGATAAATACGTTGTTACCTACCTCACAAAAAAGGAATTTAAACTATCGAACTATGTAACATAAAATACAATAAGAGTTCCATAAAAATTCAAAATCTATCACAATCGACCAGCAGTCAGTCGATTATGGTTTGATATAGATCAATTCATTTCAGGAACAAACATAAGATTTTAAAACCTAAAAATTCTTCATAAGCTCCATCACTGAATCAGACTCCGTATTTATGTTATTATATGATTCAAGATGAAACTTAGTGAAAAAAATGTAAGAGGACACCATAAAGCAGCAAATATAGAAAATTGCCTAGAAGAAGATATGTACAAAACTTTCATTATCATTATAAGAACAGCGAAATCCTAAGAAAGCAGTAGTATTGCCAGAGCATTTATTGGCCTCACATTAATAGGCAAATGATTTGTACCAAGACCATAAGAAATGAAGTTGGCAAATATATTGACAGTTACAAAAACGATATTTTAATGATTGGCCATAGACTGAACTATCCCTTACAATAAAGGCTCCAGCCCCTCATGGGTTAAAAAAGCTATGGTTATAAAAGAAAATAGTTCACAAGGCCATATATAAACACAAATACTGATCCAATTATTGACCTGTGTATCGTTGATATTGCTTCTTAAAAATGCTGGGACTGATGAAGCGATAAACTAGTACGAATTACTGTAATACAGAGCGCCAGCAATCCCTGAACTGTTGAAACATACCACTAAACAGGGCGATGATATTAAAACTGGAAAATCCCGGACGAATAAATTTAGCAAACCATAACAAAATAAATCAAGGAAGTAATTAGTAAAAAATAAAGAGTTGAGATAATAGCTTTAAAAAACATATGTTTCATCCACCATTGCTATTGCCCAAGCAAATTTGTCACGTTGAGTTTTATTGTAGACTTTCTCAATTGGAACATCCCACTTCTTGCACCTTGAAACAAATATATCAAAGTTTAATAAAATTAGTGTTGTATTTAAGATTACCAAGGTAAAGAATTAAATTAAATAATGATACCCAGAAATATCTCGAACCAAAAAAGTTAACACAAATTTTCACCGAGTAAAGCGACATAAAAAGAACAGAATAAAGAATTTGATCATACCAAGCAACACTGATTCGTGGATCTAAGTAATTCAGCTTAGATGTTCCAAGAGCAATCTCTTTATTTTCTTCCTGAAATTACAAAATAACCGATACATGAAATTACACTGCAATATAAAAAATACAAATCGAATATTAATGATTATGTTGAACAATTGATATTGCTGAAAATGTATAATGTTCACTATGATATTGTGTCGATGCTATTTTAATATAGCACAAAATGTGCAAACATACTCTGTCAGTAGCTTGTACTTCCAATTTGATTAATTGTTCCTGCAGTCTTTCAACCTTTTTCTTTTTAGTTTCATATTTTTTCTTGTTGCTTTCTGTTTTATGGTGCTTGAAGTCTGATTTTGCGCTTTTTACTTCCTGTTTGGCATCTGCTATATCGTCTTGTTTCTTTTGTATCTGTAAAGACAGTGATATAAATTTAGCATTTTCACCTGATATGTCACGATTGACGATTTGAGACAAAATATTAATATAGAGCACAACTATACCCTCTCTCTTGCTCTTTGCATCTGTTCACTAAAATTTTTGGGAGCAGCACGTTGATGGTTACAAAGAATAGCTACAGCTCTGTTGCTTCTGTTGTATGAAAGCATACGCCCAGCCAACGTATCATCAGCTGAAGATGAAGATATTAGGAAGGTTATTAATTTTACTGCACATTTGCATCAATAACAGACATGGGCAAAATACATCCCGCAGGCCAAATCCTGCACGTTGGGTAGTTCAATCTGGCCCGCCAATGCAGCCACAACCACACTAAAACAAAATTTTGATGTTGAGCTAAGAAAGATAGCTCAAGGAACGAGGCTCATTGTTTTCCACTTTTGCTTTTGTACCAGTGTAAATATTGTTCGGAAAATGTAACTTTTTACGTCACACCTCCATTATTACATGGCCCACCAGTCTGGATGGGCAAAATTTTTGGCCCCTGGTCTAAAAACCATGCCCCCCCCCCCTGAAATATAAAAATCATGAAATAGACAGTTGATCATTTTAGTAAAATTCTCATTGGTTATAGCCTCGTTAAAATAAGCATAAACTCACGGTCCGTCAGATCATTAAGTTGTTGCTGCAATGTGATGGAAGCATTATATGTACGGAATACTTTGGCAGTTAATCCGTCCATTAAACTATTCAGATACTTGTTCAAGTTCGATGTCTGAATAAAAAATAAGAAAAAAATCTTCACTTTTACAGCCATGGTGTATTAAAATTGGCATTAGGCAGAATGTTTGATGTAATACTTACAGTTAGTCTATCAAATAAATCATCTTCTCCGTCTTTGTTTTCCATGAAAAGATTAACATTTTTAAAAACCTGAATAAATATGGAAAAGCAGTTGAAATTGAGTCTACACGAAACAAATTCTTCACCAAATAGTCCTGATGGGACCTAGCTCTGCCATTCCCCATAAATGTAAATGACTTTAATAAAGTCACAGTCAATATCTTTATATTGCTGCTCAGTTTTTTTGACTAAAATCATTACGATTCTTACTGAATGAAGTCTAAATTTGAGTAATGAGTGAGTAGACTTTAGGATCCTAATTTTTATAATATGGCAATACCTGTTTAGGAACAGGAACCTTGTTGTAATATCTGATTGAATCTTTTCCGAGAAAGTCAAATTCAATCACATATTCTTGCATGTCAAGCATTTTATGGGTTTTGATGTGTTCGCATCGGAGTGAGCAACAACCGACAGTATCCGCACCTTCGCCTTCTTCCTTTTCATTACCTGCTCTCAACGCCAACTAAATGAAGGATAATATATCGGAATCAAAATTATGCATAAAAACTCCAAAATTTTAATTGTTCACACACAAACCTTGTCGATGAAAAATAGAGCCACAGCACGTTGTCTTATTGCCATTTCTTGTGATTTCATGTCTCTCCAATAGTCTTGTCGGATTTTATCGACGCGATCTTTAAGTTTTCTGGCAGTCTCGTATTTTTGCCAATCTTTTTCACCCTATAAAAATAACAATCCCTTTACTACACAAAGCTGAATACAACCAAAACAATAGGAAACATTCTTATCAGTAAACAACCCTCAGAATAGAACAACTTATAATCAAAAAGACAAACAAAATCACAAAGTAAAAATTTGCATTATAATCAAATATGCATACTCTCAATTCCACAGAAAAACCTATTATATTTTCTTTAAAGACTTTAATGCAAAAAAATCACCTTGATTCTTGAATTAGCGTTGAGCATGATGTATTTATTCTGTCCTTGTATGTTTTCAGTCCATGATACTAACCATGTCACAGTGTTGTCATGCCTGACCTCCTTCCACTTCTGTCCAGGAGGAGGTGATGGAACTTTGGAACCTCTGCATACAAGAGAACAACTTGAATTATAAAAAGTTTCATAAAATTCATTTTTTATATTAAAACACAGATTAACAGCTGAATATATTTCACTTGATCGTTCTAACAACCAAAATATTTCTATCATTTACATGATCCTTGAATTCCAAAATTTGCTTGTAAATAGGACTAACAAACTTACTTGCTGCAATTTATGATGATATCTTTGGCTTGCAATCTTTTTTTAATTTTACCCATTTTGGGATGGTCCCCGCGTCCTCTAAACAAACTAGGAGGTTCTAATCGGAAATTTCCAATCTTTTCTTTATGATTGTCCCACATGCAAAATCCATATTCTTCTTGAATCAAATCTTTTTCTTCTTTCTCTTTCTGTGATGAAATAAAGAGAATTGATCATTAAAAGCATTCAATATAGTGATTATATTATGGTACTGCAGAAGTATGCATACCAAGATGTCGCACAACCTGAATCCTAGCCGGTAAACACATACTATGTTCAGGTATTGCGCCATCTTGGTGCGCATACTCCTGGAGGTCCGATTATATAAACAAAATTAGACAGCTAACCTGCTTTTCTTCCTTTGACCTCGCTTTTCTTTCTTCTGACTTCATTTTAAAATATTCATTTGTGGCCCGAAAATCACATTTACCTAGATCTGTTATAATCTCCTTTTCCTTGCTGGTCATAACCTTGAAAAAAATAAAATGCAATTATCAATCTCCATTATCTAATTCACCAAAAGTCATCAATTCAATAATACATAGTCAGGTGTAAATTACCCAAACAAGAGAGAATTATCAAAGTAAAGTTGACTATCTCAAATTCACTAAATTATAAAACTTTGAAAAGCTGATAGAAGCATGAATTCCTAATCTAAATTTGATCGATCCATCTATCTTAAGTACTCAATACAAACCTTGCGCCAGTCATGAAAAAAATTTTTATTGAAGATTTCTTTCGATGTATAATCGTGGTCCAACATTTTAGCATAGAACGTCATTACCTCTTCTGTTTCTGGTTCGAGATGCATCACTTTCCCTACAAAAGCATTGATGAAACATCAAGTATTGCTTATTGTAATGGCACAAACCGAGGTTAAAAATAAAATATATGTGATAATGGCTATGATTTGCTGCAGAGTTGTTGCTTCCAAACTTTCTTACCGCCATATTTGAAAGGAACAGAACTTGGCAGAGGTTCATATTCAGGGGCAAACATTGGTCCTTTGTGTTCAAGAGTTTTCCATTTAATTCCATCATCAGTATCCTTCTTTTCTTCCCACCACTTCCACTTTGAAGCTGCTTCCTCCTCTTCTTTCATTTTCTTTGTTTTCTTGAAGAAATTAACAGAATTTAAATATTGTACCAATCCTTGACATTACCTTTTTTATACACATGTATGCCATAATGCATTTCCCCCAATATGAGAGAGCCATAGAAAAATGAACCTAACATTCTGGACCATATAGAGACGATGCTTTTAGTCTAATCCCAAATATAAATTGTACAATTGAACACTCACCTTTTTTGTCGGACTAGACAATGTAGAGGAAGGTTCGGCCTTCGTTTTAACTTTTTTCTAAAATAGAAAATTCATTATGACATAACATTTATTTTAAAATATATCAATAATCAATATCAAATCAATACTAAGCCAAATACTTCTCATCAATTCTTCCAACGTTGTACAATAATACAATACTGAAGGAACCAGGCAATATGATAAACCATGATTTCGCTATGTTGATCGTAAAACAGACTAGGGCTATATCGTATGACCATTTCCTGACTTACAATATTTGGCTTCACATCATTTTCTTCAGCTTTTCGTTTCTTGGCATGTTTTTCCTTTTTCAACTTCTTCTTCATTCTATAATTGTTAACATAAAAATTATATTTGCGTATTCGGACATATATCATTCTGGTTAATGAATTTTAAATACATACCTCCTAATTTCTTCACTATCTCCATGATTAGTAACCCCTGAATTCTGATGTGGCTAAAAATTAATTCCAAAGTTGTTACGGTATGATATAAAGAAATTGTAATTTAATACAAAAATTGGAAAAATAAAATGCCAAATACAATTCAGTGTTTTCCAAATAAAATTTTGGTTGCCCGTCCCTATTACTAACCTCTCCAGAATCCATTCTTTCTGTTTTAACTTGCATAACACCTTGACTGAAAAGAAAACAAAATCTGAGTTAAATAATTGCAAGTCAAGGTATGATTGAGGGCAGGGTAGGAAAGTGCCAACCCCTTTATTGGCAAATAACAAAACCAAATTCAACTCTATGAAAAAAGAAAAGTATAAACAGGGGAGAAAACACTAAAAATTTATATGACGATCATGGACCAATATAAGATTACTTTCACAAGATAGAATTGATTGCAGATAATTCAACTAATAATGCAATGAGTGATATAATTTACTGGATTCAATTAATACAAAGCATCAGCAAGAAACTTAATTTAAAAGATCTTACTCTCCAGCATGATTGGCAGTATGGTGTTCTGGTCGGTGCTCCCTTTTAATTCTTATTCTTTTCCCATCAGGACCAATTTTTGGTTTTCCATTTGAATCAAGTACATATTTGTGCTTACGATCTTTATCCTGAACAAAATAAATGACTATTATTAACAAGGTGCATGGACAACTTGTCTAGATTATTTCTTAATACAATTACCTAATAAGGCATGCAGTGATATATCACAGCCATAAAATATTCCAATTGATTTGGATTTCAAAATTTCGCTGCATATTTTATTTATTTTGGGTTTACTCATTTTATATAATATTGAAGTAGGTATTCATGAATTGAAAGATATCATTAAATCTGAGCTTGTCACTTCGAATCAATTTCATATATTTCAAGACTATTTCTATTACATACCTTAAATATCTTCCAGTCCCCTTATAGAATTATATTAATTATTAAAAACAAACAAAATTTAGAGAACAATATATCAAAAATAAATTCAACCTTGTGATGCTTATGCTTGTGAGGCGAATGTAATTTCTGTGGTGATGAACCATTCAGTGTTGTTGAGGAGTGTGCGAGTTCCATGGAAAGCAAACTAAAAAGGATATTTTGAATTTTGTAATTGAAAGATCATTCAGTCATTGCTAATGCAGTCATAAACCCATTAAAAAGTAACAAAACATTCAAAAATATAGAAATAACATATGCTATTTCACAGCCTTGCTAATAAAGTACGGGTACTGATAGTAGGGCTATTTTCGAATAACTTACCTAATATTAACAGTAAATATTAGACGATCAGCGGTCTGTGTTGTCTGTAGAATCAATAGAAAATGACTTCCCAAAGTTTTTTTCTTGGTCGTTGCCCTTGATTCAAAAACTGAATGACGACTCCAATGAGTAATGAAACCAAATTCGCAGTTATACACTTCAAGGCACTGGAGTCGTAACCAACAAAGCAGATAGACGAAGAACCACACAAGGCAAACCAGAAGACAGTAATGGCGTTCAAAAAAAAGAACAAGTCCGACAATTTCCGTCTGCGCATGCGCACAGACTTAGCTTCTTTACCTTTTTCTTTGCCTGTGTTACGCAAACGGGTGTCGCGAGAAAAAAGTTAGTCTTTTGTCTGAGTTTAAACCTATGTTTTCGTTCAGATGTGCGCTCAGTTGGCGTGAGTGCGCTTGTAGTTTTATGAACGCGATTTGTCGATTCACGCAGTGAACACGAATCACCGTACTAACATTTTGAGATAAATTTCAATGTTGCTGCGTGTGGTCATATGCAGGGAAATCAAAGTCATTTCACGTTGCAACCAAACCGCATTGTTTCATCGCCAATTTACATATGCAATAAACCCAAACACATCCGATTTTTTCGGTGACCGTACATTTGAACCCACGTACATTTGAACCCATGTGTATATCCACGGGTTCAATCTATATGCGGGTGCTAAAACCCATGGGTTAGGGTTAGTATGGGTTCAACTATCCGTAAAACAAAAAAAAAATTCATAGGCACAATAGCATACAGGTGCAATTGTCATGGGTTCAAATGTACGTGGGTTCAAATGTAATGGAACCGATTTTTTCTGTTACGAACCTTCCTTTTTACGCATTGACGACATTTAACCACTTATGCATTTCACAGTTAGTTAGAATTATTAAAATCCCATAGATTTTCCCCACTTATACCATGGAATATCAGACCTCAAGTACAGAGTGCTGTCACCACAATTCCGAGTAATATTATGAAGAATATAAAGCATATATTCAAAGATGTCCATACACAATAATTTCATATGTTTTGAACTTGCTTGCTAGTGGTGCAATTGTCCTATACACTGCCTCAAACTATATCTTTTGAATTATTTAGTTGTTCTTATCCACTAGCATAAACCTTCTGGCTATTTTAATAACATTGTGGATCTTCTCTCTCATCAAGAACAATGTCTTCTGATACTTGGACAAATTTACAGAAGCTGAAAATGAAACAGGAAAGTTTAAGGGAGAGAATACAAAGAAGAAGACAGGGCCATAAAGGTGTGTTTTCCTTCCAAGACTTGTTGGATATTTTTGAGTGATTACTATTTTCATGAATTTTACACATATTGTTCGTCTGTTTTTATAGAAATTTTGGCACAGACTGCAGATTCTACTGCAGCATCGACAGTAAGCAATTCATCAGATGTGGCAGATACAGAGGAAAATGTTGACGTTATTGACCCAGGAATTGAGAAAAAATTTCAGCAATATCTATGTCACCATTCACTCACTTTCCCAATGCATTCTCTCAATATAATGTCTGGATTTAATAAGGTGTGAACATGATACTTTATTTGCCTCTATATTTTTCTAAAAGTCTCAGTATTTGAAGCGCTAGAGTATGCCATAAGTTTTTAAACTTTTATACATACAAACCAGGCATGGTATTTTAGAGAAACGTGCAGCAAAGGTGAAAATTCGAAACAGTTGTGTATTTGAATACTATATAATGTTAATATTAAATCCATATTCCCATCACTTTCTTCTAGCAAGGTTGTTTCACTTTCGATTTATTTATGTATATCGATACAATTTATTTTCAGATTCTCCAAAGCGTCCCAAAGACCACATCCTTAACTTTGCCTCAAGTTGAACTTCTCTTGAACAAGCAAGAAGCGCAGCGATTTATTGAAATTGAAGACTCTCAATCAAGTGTAGATAAGTCAAACGAAACTGATCCAAAAATAACCGTTTTGTCTGTAAGCCATGCCAAACTCGCTGCAGTAGCTGGAGAAATGAAAGAACCAATTTATACAGAAGAAGATATTCGATCAAACATGTCTGCCTCTGAGAAACAAACTAGTGAACGAGAAAAAAATCAAGACAGTTCCCTGGTAAAGCAAAAACAGGCTGTGAAGCGCCACTCGTCTGATTCAAATCACAACCGAAAGCACAGAAGTGATACGAGACGGCCAGAAAAATCCTCAAAAACAAATGAGTCTGGAAAAAATAGTGAACAGAAAGACTTGGATGATATAGAAGAATTGCTGTCCACTAAATCAGCAAAAGAACAGGACACAAAACGCATCGCAGAGGAAATTCAAGAATTACTTGGCACTGCCTCCACTAAGGAATTATCGTTAGCGGAAAAATTCCGAACTCTTGGTGGTTCACAGGTGCATATCGAGTTATTGAACTGTTATTATTTTGATTGGTTTGGCTTTTGACTCCTAAAACGTGGGTGGGAGGGTTAATCCAATGGCTCTAGTGAAATCTTATATTTCAACACTATACTGATTTATAATTGTTTTAATCCTGCAAATGCTTAGTCAGCCAATGGGGCGAAATCTAATATACCGCATTGCTAAATAAAGTCACATTTTCAAATACTGTTTCACCCATAGAATTAAGCTGGAATTCTTTGTGGCAGGTTTCTAGTAAAAACTAGCAGTTTGCTGTGATATGTACTGAATTTTTACATACATATACCAAAGTCTTCCTAAATTTCAAATTCTATACTCTTTTTACTACTGAGGCACATGTGATTAGATTAAAAAAAAATTCTGCATACAGGTTAAAGAATTCTGTCCTCATGGTACACGGTTTGAATGTATGCGGCAACGGAAATCCAATTATTCATGCAGTAAATTGCACTTCAAGAAGTTGATAAAGCCTCACACAGGTGCTTACAGTAATTAAATAATGACAGAGATAATTTTGCATGATAGTGGTTATAACAATAAAAAATGATGGCGATTGAGAAATCTATTTCCCATACAAATTTTAAGATTATTTTTCCATTCAGATGAATCACTGGGAGACTGCTCTTTTCTCAACACTTGTTTTCATATGGATACATGCAAATATGTTCATTATACTATTGATTACAAGGGGACAGAACTTGACCCAAGGTATCAAAAAAGAGGAAAGAAAAGAACCGAGTCAAATGAAGATAATAAACTATTGCCAAAACTTGCATCCGATGAAGATTATTTGCAAAGGAAAATGCTTCCTCCACAGGTTGGTTTCGTCTCGAGCAAACTTAATCATACATGACAGTTATTATTAATCCTGTTCATGATCAAAATTTATTTTATTAAGTTTACATAGACAATACAATATAACAGAAAATGGCATTTGTCTTGACGCTGTTAAATGCAATTGACCTCCAAGTCTTTTTTGTTTATTTTAGTGGGTAACATGTGACATCAGATATCTTGATATGTCAGTGCTTGGAAAATTCTCTGTAATAATGGCTGATCCGCCATGGGATATTCACATGGAGTTACCATATGGTACAATGCAAGATGATGAAATGAGAGCATTAAGAATACAAGATCTATCTGATGATGGCCTATTCTTTTTATGGGTAACAGGAAGGTGAGTGTATCTATGAATAATTGTAAATTTGAAGCCCTTGTCTTTAATTATGTTACAAAAAATGCCAAGATTATTCATTTTATTGCATTTCATAAAGCAATCAGCTCTTTTCGTTGTTTGCTCATAGAGGTAAGGGTGCAACCATGCTATTACTCTAAGTCCTGACCAAATGATTCAATATATCTTCATATTTATGCTACAGGGCTATGGAGCTTGGAAGAGAACTCTTTGAATGCTGGGGGTAAGTTGAAAAGATTTGTTGCTTTTAAAAATGGGAATCCAAATAAAATTAGATTCATAATTGTACAGATACCAGAGATGTGATGAACTCATTTGGGTAAAAACCAATCAACTTCAAAGATTAATACGAACTGGAAGAACAGGTCATTGGATAAATCACGGAAAAGAGCATTGTCTGGTATGTCTTCAGCGCAGAGCGTGAAAGTCCAAGCAACTTATGCATGTGTAAAATTTGGTGTTGGAATATCTGCCTGTGATTTCATATAAAACCGTTATCAAATATGACTGCTGAATTTTTTTCTGATTAGAGTCTATTAAACATTTTTTCTTCAAGGTATTTTATTTTTAAAATTTTTCTTCCTGCAGGTCGGCATAAAAGGAAACCCTAAAGGCATCAATACAGGGTTGGACTGTGATGTACTTGTGGCAGAGGTAAATGGGCAATTCTTTAAAACAGAGCTTGGCAATATGTTTGAAGGTTACAATTATATCTTTATATTATTCGTTGTAGGTAAGAGACACCAGTCACAAACCAGATGAAATCTATGGTATTATAGAAAGGCTTTCTCCTGGCACAAGAAAATTGGAATTATTTGGCAGGATGCACAATGTACAGCCAAACTGGTAATTATCCTAGATGCATGCACCTTTTTTTATAAGCATTTCTAAACTGTATGATCTTCATTATCTGTTCTTGCTACAGGGTAACACTGGGAAATCAACTCGATGGAGTGCACTTGGTCGAACCAGATGTTGTTGGAAAATTTAAGCAGAAGTATCCAGATGGGAAGGTCACGAAGCCTGCAACCAAATCTTCTAATTGACACTTTATTTAAAAATAATAAAAAACAAACGCACTGCCTATAGATTTCAGTTCATTAGAATTTCCGCAATCACAGATGTTTTTTACGATCAAGATCAGAATTATGCGGAGGTGGAGGAAAGAATTTATCTAATACAGCAGCAATCCATCTATGGTCTGGATCCCTTTTAGGTTTTGTCAATGAACAACAGCATTCAAAGGTGCAGCTTTTATGTTTGCCAGGTCCAGTGAGGAGTCTGTAGCATCGTCTATTTCTCCGACGAGAGCACTGCAAAAAGTGAGCTTGGTTTTAATACATGTATAGTGGAAGGATATTAGAAGAAACTGCCCATAAATATCCAACTGAAATTGATGCAATGGCTGCTAAAATAAGTTTTTAAGTAGCAGTAATATTTGCGTGAAAATCACAATACTTTTCTAATCATGATTTTGCTCTGAAGACGACTTGGCAGCAAATAAGTTCATACAACCAATAATTCCTCTACCTATATATGAAAATTGTAAATACCAAATGATCTCTCGTTCTAAAATATTATTTAGATTCCTTTTCAAACTTGGATAAAAAAAAGGGCTTGAAACGCTTGCAAATATTAAATAATATTGGCTTCGCTTTTCAATGCAGATCTGAATAGGACCTTCCCAATGAATAAAAGGCTAGTTGTACTCGAAAGGGCACATTGGTAAAAATAATTTAGATTTATATATTTCTTATACAACAAGTATTTGCAGATTACATAGTAAAGCAACTCACACATTGTCTCCTCGAATAATGTATAGTCCAAGCATGACTTGTTCGACACCTTGTGATGATGAAAACACTCTTTCATGACTCTCATCAAGAATAATGTTGACCGTCTGATCAAATCCCTTCAAAGTTCCAACTATCATTCTTCCATCGCCAGTGATCACAGACACAACATCTAATAAGTTTGTATTAAGGAAAATTTTTACAGAATTACCTTGAACTATATAAGTGCCGTACTAATTAAAACTGAAGATCTAAACAAAACGAACTGTCTATCGAAATACATAAGTTAAGTGACCTTTGTCACTGTAAACCTATCTTGACGATTGAAATGTTTTATGATCTTCTATTCAATTGCATTTTCAAAGGATACGATTCACAAGAGGCTCAAGCGCCATCGCCATGACGCCGCTGTCCAATGTGCTCAGATCAGTCGAAATAGGATTGCTCGACTAGAAGATTCACACAACGCGCCACACTGTCTGACTGTAGCACCGAAACGCACGATTCTGTAGTGGCCTGTGAGAGGGAGAGAGATTTATTTTACACGAAACGAAATTTGATGCCCACTTGAGGAATACTTTGGCAATGTTGCTGGAGGTGAACAACATGCCTAGATATATACAGTATTCATTATAAATAATATTGTGCAAATTCAGATATATCTATGTGAAATAACATATTTTGATATTACGGAAAGCGCCTATCGTGCGTGGTGACCCGTGTTTAAAAGGTCAAATTACATACCGAAAATAAACATAAAATCATTTCGCAGATGTTGGTCTGTTGTTAGCTCGCCTTGTTGTGTTGGGTTGTTATTTTCAGCGTTCTGTAATCAGTGAAAGTCCGAATGCATTGCAACATTGTGTGGATGTGAATTAAAAAGTGGTGCAGATTTCTATGGATGGAATGCAGTCTTAATATAGAATCTTCGGCACTAGTTCATTAAACGCCGTCAACGTCAAGTGCTTCTAGTTTGCGTGGAATACGGTACCGAAGTGCTTCTAGTTTGCGTGGAATACGGTACCGGTAGTCATTTTTGAACCTCACCTGACTATGTCATCTGAAAATTATGACACACAAACGATCACCCGAAATCGAGCAAGCTATTTATCTCGTCGCATCGATCCCGATATAACTATATGAGAGCGATCGCTGATTTCTTTATCGTTGGCGCAGATACCATTTTGGGCGATCGTAGGTATACTTTGGCAAGCTCTATGACCGACATAATTTTTGGATGGCTGAGTTTGGTGGGGGTTAGGATTGACATGTGCATAACTAGAAGTACGAAACTATACGAGACCCTGAAAATCATACCTTCTTCTGAATTTAGTACTTAATAACATATTTTCTATGGTATTCATCAAGACATGGATAAAATTATGAGTGAAAATGTGGGTGATTCTGCTAAAAAAAATGATGAGTATTACCGAAAAAAGTACAAACGATTGAGAAAAACAGTGATAGAAATTGTGCACCAGAATGGTGCTTTGTGTGAAGAAATTGCAAGAACCGAAGACAAGATTTCCACTGTCAAAGCCGAAAGGAAATATCTTTTAAAAAAGCTTATGCAATATGAAAAACCAAATCTTAATTCTTTGAAATCATCCAAGGGAAATAAATCTCAGAAAACAGCAAACACAAAAGTAAAAAAATCTTCAAAAACATTTGGTGAAGGTACAACGAAAACAGGTCAACAAAAAGCAAAATGTACAATGGTGAACCCTATTCAAGTGGATAATAATGGCCGGCCAATTTTTCCCATTGAGATTGGGGATTTATCTGTGTACAGTATAGGTGAAATCGTTCATGATCGACCCAATTATCATAACAGAAAATTCATCTTCCCTGTTGGTTATTGTTCAACAAGATCTTTTAACAGCATTTCTTCTCCAGAAAGCGAGTGTCTGTATACATGTAAAATATTCGATGACAGCATAAACCCAAGATTTGAGATATCTCCGGAAGATGCACCAGAAATAACATTCTTAAGCCAATCAATATCAGAAGTTTACGCTTCTTTTTTGTTAGCTGCTGCTCCTCAAAATCCTGACAATCTCACTTTGAGTGAGTATGATTTCTTCGGACTTTCTCATCCCATTATACAAAACCTTATTCAAAGTTTGCCTGGTGCAAGTGAATGCTCGGGGTATGAATGGAAAAAATTTGAAGTAGTGCGACCTGCCAAATCATCTCAGGCTGTCGCTGGTCATCAAAACCTTAACGCTGATTTGGTGAAAACTGGGAAAAGCAGATCAAGACAATCTGATATTAATATAGAGGCTTTGGAGAAATGGGCAAGGGATTTGTCATAGCATAAAATATTTTTTTAATCTTTATTGGTTTCCGTTTTGTCGAAAACATTTGTGAAAATATTTGACAAATGAGGAAGAATAGCATACATTCTTTTAGGCAGTTTCAAATTTTGCCCTTAATAGCAGTCCTCTGTGTTGTGGGGTGACAGCTAATAATTTTACAAGGTTGTACAAATTACTGTTGACTACAACTCTCTGCTCAAACTTTCACCACACCACCTTTTTTTGCACAATTCTAAAATAAAATACTATGACCTAAACATTTTGTACTTTCATATTGTCGTGGGACTGTAGACTAAAAAATGCGCCTATTGTGTTGGACGTCAATAATGAATGATTCAATATACAGATAATAAAAGCATGTTTTCTAGAAAACAAATTAGAGCAATATTTAATATAAACGAAAGTGTCAGTGCAAATACAAATATTTAAACTATTCACAGTATTAAAATATAAAATCTCATACTGCAGCAAGAAGTTGGAAAATTTATAAAACCAAATAAGCATCATCTATCACTATATTGGTTGGATATTCGCTATGTGGGAAATCGACACAACATTGAGGATTTATGAATTTAATTGCAAGCCATTTTATTTATTTCACGATTCCAGGCAAGGAGTAAGTGCATGACTACAGCATGTGCAACTTTGGGAATATGAAAAAGTATTTGAATGAATATAGATTTTGCGAATACGCGAAATAAATTTTGCTACTTCAAAAATGGTGAGAAAACCCCAGTGATGTGTAATGTTAAAAAAAAGTACTGCATAAAAAGTAAAAAAATATATATGATGAACATTTCAGTCCAGAACTTTACTTTTGTAAAATGAATCCATAATTCTACGATTCTCAGATGTTGCTGCTTGCCATACATTTTCCAATTCATTTTCCATCAATCTGTAAGTTCAAATAAAGGTTCAACTACAAGAATGAACCACATTTAGGTTAAGAAGCAAAGTACAATCAGGCTGAATTAGCATCAAGAAGAGAAAACATTCAAATTATATATTCTACATTTGTATTTCCACATTATCCAGTATTTGGCTCCGCGGTTGGCATTGTGCTATGTGTTAGAAATACACTTGAATAGCACCTCTAATTACCCAGCGTGGACCCGTCCCCATCAAGTCCGTGAATCTGAAACAAGTTACTGGTTGACTACTACCATACTCGACATGGACTGGTAACCAGATGAGAGGCTGTGTTTTGTCATATGATTATTTAATTACCTTACCAGCTTTTCCTCAGTGCCAGGATAAATAGGAGAAACTATACCAGGATGAGCATGGCCATAAAAGCGCACCCTGCGTCGTGTACCCCGTAATCTTAATTTGTACATTGGAAAAGAAAGTTTCTCAATGATCAACCAGAACGAGCTTTCAAATCACAATTCACCTCTTTTCATGGGTAACATCATCCAACATTGCTTGTTTTTGTTGTAACAATCTTTTTAGATGTGACATTTCTCTGTGATATTCTTGCAATCTTCCTTGATGACTTTCTTCTAAACCTCTAATCTTGTCCGTAATATTGTTCATCTGATTAGAAGCTTGCTTTTTGTATTGCTAATTGGTAGAAGATGAGTTATAAGGGTTAATCAATTATTGAATGGTTGGGCTTCGAATGTTCTATACGATTATCAAGTGGAAACTGACATATAATGTGCATTCACCAATGAAGTCATTACAGTAATTTAGGAGCAATATGGAAACTTTAAAAGACTTCCAATCTAATTTTTAAATCTTGTCTTTCTTCAACATTAAATATTATTCATAAAAGCTGGGTAAGACTGTTATACCTTTACAGTTTGTTCCATTTTCCCCATTTCCCATTTTCCATGCATTTGTGATCTCAATGCTTGTTCAGTCATCCTTTGTTCTTTTTCAACAAGAGCTGCAAGTGCATCTCGCTCTGCTGAAGTTTTATCAACAAGTCTTAAAACTTCTGCTAAATGTGCTTCACATTCTGAATTTCTTTTGTCAGAGTCTTCTAGTTCAGATCCCATATCAGTGCATTTGTCTTGAAGTTTGCTGCAAAGAATTTGAATAATTAGTTATGCCAAACTACAAACCAAACAAAATTAATAAAACAATCTTGCCAAATATGAAAATTACTGTGCCAAATCTTCAATTTGTTTTGTCTACAATAGTACTTGTCAACTTGATATTGAAAAATAAATTTTGGAATCAATCAATCCCACGTATCATACTAACTTAATTGTTAACTTATAGAAATATATTATATATGATATATGTTTAAAATAAGAGTTTTACATAAATACAAAACCTCTTTAGAGTTAGTCTATGTTTTATATAACTTACTCATAAGCTTGAGTCAGTGCTTTGATTTGTCCTTCAAGTTGTTTATTCTTGATTTTTGAATCTGTTATATCTAATGTTAATGCAGCTCGTTCTTCCTCGATGCCCTTAACAAATATAAAGTTTAAAAATTAAGACAAGGTTGCTGTCGCAAAAGTTTTTTGAACATAAATCTTTAGATGTTGAAATTTTGTAATTTACCTTTATTTTTTTCATTGCATTAGACAATTCCTTTTGAGATGCCTCTTTAATTGATTCAATCTCCCTTTAAAGCATAATACAGAGTTTGAATGAAGATTGCAAGAGTCAAACTTCAAGCATTTAATTTGAGAACATTAACCATAGTATTACCCCTGATTAAACTAAATCATATACAATGCTTTAAAAGTATAATGCAAGTAGAAACTTTAAACTTATTTCTGTTGTGGTTTAACTGACAATTTTTATATGAAATTTGATGACAAGAATGGCACAATTATAATGCATTATGTGCTATAGTATATGTTCGAAACAATAAAAAACAAAAACTTACTCTTTTAATTCATTAACAGCAGTCACATGTTCTTTTGCAGGAATTTTTTCTGCACTTTCACTGACAACCTTTTGATGATTTTTCTTGAGATCATTGAGTTCTTGCTGAAGTTTTGCAACCATTTCAGTTGAAACTTCAGCTTCTGCCTCTGCTACAGCGAGTGCTTTAGAGAGTTTGGCAACTGTGAAAAAATGCATGAGCGATTTAACAATGGTACAGAGATTTGTATTCACAATGGATACTGAGATTTTTATCATATGGATTGCTATTATTATAATTATCCACATTTACTCCCCATTAAGGAATTTAGTCATTCTTAGGAAAGAATTTTTCTTTGTAACTAATGTATTATTGCTAAATTTCTCTAGTTGTTTTTTTTTAAATTTTTTTTACTTATGCACATTTTAAAAACCACTCAAACTGTACAGAAGTGAAGTTGCGACTTCCGCATGACACTAGCTAGGTTTCCATTAAAGATTGAACATTGTTGAATTTAAAAAAGTTTGGAAGTACATGATGAATAAATAGATTAATACTCTAATCTTAACTCAGAGTTATATTATTCTGGCTTTATCTTCAAGAGATAAGAGTCATGTAATCTGCATTTGTGCGAATGTCTTATCAAAAACAATAACCTGGAGAGAAGACCAAATGAACAGAGATCATTTTTAAACATTTTCGAAAATTTTGACATATTTCTAACTAAATGGAACAATAATGGCCATCATTCCATGCTGATATGCAGTCATTTACCTTCTCGAGCATTGCTTTTATTGGCTTCAGATGATTTTTGTTTTGCCATTTCCAACTGTTGCATTAATATTTGAATTTCTTCTGTCATTAAATTATTCTGTTCTGACAGATTATCCCTGGAAATAAATTGTGAGTTTTATTGACTTCAACAAAAATTTAGTTGCTCCTGAAGTATGCGCACCAAGGTGTCGCATAACCTGAACCCTAACCTGGTATACAACATGAGGTTGTGCGCCATTTTGGTGCGCATACTTTAGGCTGTCCAAAATTTATATCAACGAAGTTAGACAGTGGTGAACTATAAAGTATTATAAGTATATTTGAATATGGAAAATCATTAAAAATAGTAACAATTTTGAATATTCATGACGATGACACTCATCACCAAGAGTTAATGTTTTAATATAAACTGGTAGTCATCAGGGAAAACTCGATTGTCTTACGAGTAACAGCCCGACTATATCTTATTATTTCATTGAGATAAGAATATGAATCTGTTTAAAATCACATTTTGAAGTAGTGTAGAAAAACAATATAATGTATTTATTAAACATACCATTTATTCTTCTCCTCTGACCCCTGAAAAAATGAGAGATATATAAAGAAAAAAGTTTTAATAGACAATGCTGGGCTTTGTTTATAAAACTGATGTCACAAAGGAATGTCTCCTTTTTGTAAAGTCCAGTTTGAGTAAGTGCAAAGTTGATAAAGATGCAGCATTGTGTGCAGCTGCAGCATTTTAATTCTTAGTGAAAACGAATGCTGTCTTGATGGTCTTCACCATTCAGAATACTTTTATTTCGAATTGAAAAAAGAGTGAGACATGATAAAGAGGTGAAACAGCAACCAAGAAAATTGCTGTGATAAATTCTTGAATTAAGTAATGCAAGAACAATCATGTAACACACAAGAATTTGACAACCAATAATTCAGTAATATTTCCTGCTTACAGCATGTGTTTCGATGTTGAAATTAGACTCCATCAACTTGAGTTGCAGAAAAAAAATTTACTGTGATTTAGCTGTACCGTTATAAAGTCATTCATAGCATTGAATATATTAACAATATTCGCATATATGATGATTCACTTTATTGTTTATGTTGTTTTCAAATCATTCTATATAGAACATGTGATTTTTTAGTTCAATGGAAATTTTGTTGAGTGATAATTACACAGATAATAAAGACAAACTTCATATTTGTACGAAAAAATTACCTGACTTCCTCCAAGCTTCTTTATAATTCTGTCTTTTTCCTGCAATTGCGCATCATAACTTATGAATAGCGGACTCAAGTATTCAACTTCAGTCTGAAAAAAAAAGTCAGTTCATTAATTTTTTTTTCAAATACAAACTTATCTTTACGATTAATTATATAAATTTAATAGGTTAACAAAATGTCTGCATCTGAATTCCAATTTGAAAAAAAAAACAATCGTTACAATGACCAACAGGTTCATTATTCACTTTTATTTATTTATCACAATAATATAATTTGAATAGATTAATCAATATTGTCTATAACACGGGTGTGCAACCTTTAATACAGGTGAGCCATATACAAATAACCGAGTATAACCGCAGGCCACACCTTTTTCAACAGGCTTTCTAGTAGTTGCAAACACAAAAATTTTGGTTATTGATCTTACGACATGCGCTGTTCGCTTCGCACAAGCTAGCTGTTAGGGCATTGTTACATCATAGGCATAGATAATAAATTGGACTGAGGTGTAGGATTTGCAACGCAATAGGATTGAAATTACTCGCATATACCAGATTAAACTAAATTAAAAACTCGTTTTACGGGCACATTTTCCAAAACTGGCTCTTCCGCGTGGGCCGCACAATTTTTCCTTGCGGGCCGCGCATTTGGCCCCCGGGCAGTAGGTTTCACACCCTTGGTCTATAATGAATGCAAAGGTTGACATGACTTATGTAAAGTGCATTTCAAATGTCAAATATCTACTATATAAAGATAGATCAATACTAACAAAGCATATTAGAAACTTTTGATTGATACTTAGCGCAGCAATGTTGAAATATTCATAGCCTATCTGGAGTAGTAGCAAAATAAAGATTTTTTGTAGTTCTGATTTTCTTCTAATTCTACTGTTGAGCAATGTTTTATTGGCTCCAAAAAAGATAGAGGTTTACATGTTCCCATACCAGCCATTTTGGTTTTTGTTCCAACCCATCAGAAAGTGAGCGTCTCGATTTAGGTTTGCCAGGTAGTTCTCCATATTTTTCTTGAAATTTATGTAGTTCAGTATTAAGTCGTTCAACAGTTCCTCGTAGAATATCATTTTCATTCAAGATTTCTTCAACTTTAGTTCTAGGAGATCCTTGTTTTCCTGAAAACATGTAGTAATAAAATATACCCATTATATTTCACAGTCTAATCACAAATGATCAACAGTTCTATCACGTTCAAAAATATTTTTACAGCAGTTTCAATTTTAAAATATCTTTAAACTGTTAGACTATCTGTATTTTGAAAAGTTATCCTAAAGGTGGAATGCTTCTACACCACCACTTTAAACAAGGATCCGAACATGTGACAAACTTATTTATAGCCCGATGTATGAAATGACTGTATAATGGCTATAAAAAAGTGATATAAAATTTATGTGAAGTAAGAATATACAACAAACCTGCACGTTTTAAAGCTTCTGACAATGCATGCAGATTTTTGTTTTGTTCAACAAGTGCCGAATTTTTCTTGATTAATCTGTTGTTTTCATCCATCAATGCTTGATTATCAACATCTAATTCATCCAGATCATAAGATATCTCAGAACTTCTGTGACCTAACAATAGATCAGAAGAGAAATATTTATATAGACAATTCATATCTTAATTTACCTGCATATATATCGGACGTATTTTTCGATAACTGTAATTTTGGTAATTATCAGTATATATTCATGTTACAGACGGTCAAAGCGATCTCCACCTGGACCAAGAGGAAAACCTGTTCTAGGTGTGATTCCATTTCTTACCCGAAGACCAGAAATCAAGTTTCACGAGTGGGCTAATAAATATGGACCAATCATATCAGTCCAAGTTGGTAGAGAAAATTGAATTGTTCTTAATTCATATGAAGCAGTAATGGAAGTTATGGTTCGTCAAGGACAAAAGTTCAGCGAGCGACCACAAAATTACGTCATTCAGCAAATATTCATAAACAGAGGATTTGTTTTTGTTGGTGGTGAATCCTGGCAGACAATAAGAAAATTTGGTAATTCTGTTTTCCGGGCTCTTGGAGTTGGCAAAAGAACATCCGAAAAGATAATTCTAAATGAAATAGATGTTTGGCTAGAGAAGTTAAATGCAATGCGAAGTAAGCCGCATTGTTTTGATTTGGATATTTTAAAACTGTTTTGCAATATAACATGTCAAATTAGTCTTGGAAAGAAATATGATGACAATGATAAAATATTCAAGTACACAGCAACAAATGTGACAGCAGATTCATCGAAAGGGATGTTACTCAATGCGGGAATGACACTACCATTTCTGAAGATTTTACCCCCAGTTAAAGCCACTTTGAATCAAGTTCGAGATGACATGCATGAACTTATTGACTACATAGGTGAAGAAATAAATGACATGAAGTCAGTAGCCGATCCAAATGAAGTGGAAAATGTAGCACAAGCATTTTTTAAAGTAAAAAGAGAAGAAAAACAAACTCGGCAAAAATGAGTTCTTTACAAACAGAAGGCTAGCGCACGTAGTTTATGATCTATTCACCGCTGGTACTGAAACAACTTCAACTACCGTTGTATGGTGTTTTCTTGCATTGGTTCATCTCCCAGATATACAAGATAAAATTCAACAAGAAATTGAGAGTGTGATCGGAGTTGACGAGCCTTCTCTATCAAACCGAGATTCAATGCACTATACACAAGCTTTTATTCATGAAATTTTTCGATATTGCACTATTTTGCCTTTGGCTATTCCACACAATTAATGAATTCTTCATTGGTAGAGGTACAAAAGTTATACCCAATATTTGGAGCATACATAATGATCCAGCAACTTTTAAAGAACCACAAAAATTCCACCCAGAGCGTTTTTTAGATGAGGAAAAGCAATTTACAAAACCAAAGATCAAAAATATAGTACCAAATTTGTACCAAGGAATGAAATGAATAGCACGCAGAGCTCATAACCAAATAGGAAAAAAAGAAGCTATACAAGAGGATGCATTATATGGGCTCAATTATAAGCCAAACCGAGACAGAGAAATTGAAGTCTATTTTTCGCCAAACTTGAATTGTTCATGATTGTTAATAGTAAAACGTCATTCTCTACCTCATATAGTGTAACTTTAAACAGGACTTTTTGCGTCATTTTAAGAAGGCGACCCATATATTACATTATGCTTCCCCAATTTGAAGTATTCCACAGAATTTCGTTTTTGAGTAAGGTCACTATCTGATTCACAGATAGTTTTTTAAAATTGGTTATTTATAAGTTTTAAACCTACCGTACCTTATGCTTGTAGCATAGCCTAAATTGTTTGCGTAATTTTATGATCTTGGGTAAATGTTAATAATGATAATAATTATTGAATATTCACTGCATTACAAAAGCAAGGTATATGCCGGTATTCATCTTTCAATACATCTTTCATCATGAATATTATTCAGTTTAATAGTATTTTAAATATCAAATGAACTAAACATGATCGTGTTACACCATAATACTTTCTCGCTAATCCAAAATTATAATTGATCTTACTTCGGCGCAATGAGTCTTCATGTTGCCTTGTCATGACTTCTCGAACCATTTCTCTCGTTTCATTGTTTTGCATTTGCATTTTTTCTTCCAGTCTACGTTGCTTATCTTCAAGTTCATATCCTAGCTGTTCAACATCAGCTTTGCCAATAGAAGGATCAGCTCTCTTCTGCGGAGCGAATATGAAAGCATATAAAATAAACCTACTCAGTGTTATAACTACTACACTATCTACATTCGTTTTGACTATATATTATCATATTGTTTAAAATGTTAATATTATTGTATTTTTACTGATATCATGTTTGATATTAGTAATAATACACTGACGCCCTATTGAAATACTTGAATTACTATTATTTACCGAGAGCTGTGTATCAATGATACATACTATGTATGGAATATGAGACAATACCTGCTTATCTCTGGGTGATTCATTTTTTTGAGTATCTGCAACATCGCCTGATGATTTCTGGAATTAGAAAGAAAAAAATACTTTGTGACAGGTTTAAAATGTCTTGATGAATCACTGTCAAATAATTCTTAATTCAAAGTTTGTATAAAGAACAAGATGGATAGGAATAACAATATGCCAACCTTTTCACATATACAAGCATGGCCCTTGATAAGATATCAGAGTATGTTTTATATAAAGACCCTACCAACTTGATACACCTTAAATGAATTGATCAATGCTCTGGCCCAGAATCGCACGCTAGCCCACAATTCTAGCACTGATAAGCCAAATAATAGGCTAAGAATCCACAAATAGTTTATCTATACATTTTGTTAATTGTAAATCTTTGTTATGCTTTCCTAAAACCTTTATTCAATAAAATTACGAAAAATCAATAATACTCACTCCTTTACGACTCCGTGCATAAATATCTTCATGTCTGCCTTGCATTCTGTCTTGTGCTATTTGAAAAGAAAATACAATCTTTATCAGTTCATAGTAGAACAGAAACACTAACAATTCAAGCATGCATTCCTTCAAGTAGACAGCAAGTATATTTCTCTCAAATAAATGTCATTGCCTTAGAACCAACCACAATGGTGTGCATTCATGCATGGCATTTATTTTACGAAGTTAGAAGAGTCAGGATATAAGATATCACTGTAACATGATACCATTGCATTAAATGATTGAAAATGAGAGATTTTAGTGAGAGCATGATCAATTCAACAGTAAAAGTTAAAACTCTTGTTATTCAGTATTGGTAATATTATTATTGTGCATTTTTCTACTACTGACGATAATGTATACAATGGATTGAATGATGATTTCATATTTGTCATGGAAATCCAATAAAATTGCTCATTCATATAGCAAGCCACAGCCCCTCGTTCGGTTACTAGTTGAAAGGTTGTTTTGTTATTTGTTACTAGTTGAAAATCTGAAAAATTTTTACAAATGAAAACCAAATGCAAGCTAAATGATCGACTGACTGACTACAGAATTTGAAGTCTACAGCTATATGCAAATATACTTTACCTGCGGATTGAACAACTTGAGCTTCAACTACCATGTCCCTTCCACCGTCGTTATCTCGTCTTCTTGACCTTCCTCGTGTGGCAATTGAAGCATATCCTCCCTCATAGTCCTAAGAAGATCCAACATAAGAAATATTATATGAATTACACACAAAGCAGTTATAAGCCGTTTAAAAAAGTGCAACCTCTTTAATAAAGATAATTACTTTCATGGTACTCCTTTTTTTTTAATTTCCAAATTAAATATAAATAATTCAAACGCTGCTGTTGTAAAGGTATACAATAATTCCATAATAGTGTTGTCGGACAATTTCATTGCCATTAGGGTACTGTATTAACTGGGATGCAGGTGTGTGGTGAAATAACAGAGCAGTCAATGCTGTGGTAGATTTTGATATTCAGTAAAGAGCTGATATGGCAGTTTAATAGTATGGTGGACCCCAACCTCTTGTTTGATGTAGGGTATGGAAATATTTGTAGCAGTTCCGCCATGATTGCTCGGCAGTAACATGAACCATCCTATCACAAAGCCAGGTAGTAACATTTTACAGATTCTACTAGCTATAGCACTTTGATCATTGCAGTTATTTAAACCCAAATCAACTTACCATTGAAACATCTGGAATCTGAGAACTACGATCTGGTGAACTTCTTGCACTTGATGATTCAGCAAAACTTAAACCAACTGCTCTCGCTAATAATTAAAAAGATATTGCATATATTGTTTTAATGAAAGCACTATGTCAAATTACCTACAATAAACTTCTGAAAAAATAAAATTTTCGAAAGCAACTCAAGTATTCCATATTTCTAAACGAAGAATTGTTTTTAAAAAGCCATAAATAAATTCCTGTTCTAAAAATAGGTATATTTCACTTTGCGGCATATCATAGAATTTATCATATTCATCAGCCATAGTTTTCTCATGTGACACATTCAATCACTATATCCACTTCAATCCATAGAGATTTTGTGTAGAGATCCAATAGTACTTTTGCTTCTGGAGTACAACCACCAAGCTTCTACAAGGATATCACCATAATCTGAATGCTATAAATTTATTATTATTACTTTGTCTGAGCTTACCTGTCCTGTTGATTCCCATTAATACCGGAAGAATTGGTGAAGGACTCGGCGTCTTCTTCCGTTTCTTCCAAAACTTCATACTTCTTGATGGAGTAGGAGGAGTTGGTGGCGGAGTATTTGGAACAGCTGCAAAAGCAACAGGAGGGACTAAAGCAGTTCCAATATGATCCTAGAAAATAAAATGAAATCAATAAATTAAGGTTTTCCTAATTAACTATTACTAGTATATTCAGGATGCATATTTAGCATGAACAAGGAAGCTTCCAGGTTAAACAAGCACCAGACCATAATCTTCAAAAAGACAAGCAGAAATCCACCATTATTCATACACATGACAAGCATTTTGCATAGAATTTCACTTACACTACAATTTATTTTGACATTCGGAAAACATTAAACCAATTGTAAATAGGGCCCGACCGATACTGCCTCATAAAACCGATGCCGATAGTTTTCGAAAACAAGGCAGATATGCCGATACCAATGTTTCCTAACTTGAAAAGATGGCTACAAGTAACAAGCAAGACTCTGAGAATGCTGTGTTTTTCTTGCAAAAGAAATAAATTCTATAACAAAATGTTAAACTCATGCAATGATGACAAAAAATTGCATAAAAAGTACATTTACACCTTTCTTTGTGCATCACTGAGGTGATTTTCAACGCCTTATGTTAGAAATTATCAGTGTTAAAGCTCTACGATTTACTGGTGTTTTTTTTTTAATCAGCGAAACCTTTTGACCTAATAATGATGAGCATATTTTACGAATTACACCATCATTATGGCACACGAAGTATTCCCTTACTTTTCCTTACCGCTAGAACCAGCCATCTATAACATCAATACAAGAAGTTCAATCGTGCCTTGAACGACTAAAGCGCAAGGAAAATTCAGAGCTTTGATGGCCAATGGTTGACTTGATTCTAATTGTTGTAATACTGTAATAAGAGTTTTGTTGTGGTGCAACAATTTAGAGCAAGGGAAATCTGCTTTTAAATTACTTTATATTTACAAAATTTACTATAGTTACATGAAATAAAAACTTGAAGCACAAAAATAATCAACATTTTCTTTTCAAAACATTTGATATCATTTTTAAACTGACACTTGAGTTGTCAAGGTTCGTTGTATGATAAGCTTTAGGCTACTGCCTCTAAAACAAATTTGAATACTCATATCTCATCTGTTAACAGAGTTCTCCGTGAATGTTTACCACTACAGGCATTACTAAGGTCAGAATCAGAAGAGCAGGACGTTACCGTACCTGTACCTACCAAGCATTTCATATGGCAGTATGGCAGAATTCAGTACCGGTAGTAGCCATGTCCTACCAACCCCTAAATTCAGTTGATAGGATTACCGGTATAGCAAAACAGTGATATAGTCAACAGCCGAAAACAGATCTGTCTAAAGAGTCTCATGTAGTTTCGTACATACTTCTAGTGGACGTAGCATGACAATTTTTTCACGTATCAATCCTAACCCCCACCTGACTACACCATTCAAAAATTACGTCATTAGGACATCACAGTGACGTAATAGAGCCTTTCAAACTATATGAACTGCCATCCAAGACGCGCAAACGAGCACCCAAAATCGAACTGTTATTTCTCTCGTTTTCTCGTCGCAACGATTCCAATAGGAGAGAGATCGGATAACGTCAGTCAGTTCTTTATCGTGGGCGCTAATCCTATTTTGGGCGATCATACTATATTTGGCAAGCTCTATGACGAGATTGTGATGTCGTAGTGATGTAATTTTTGGATGGCGTAGTCAGATGGGGGTTAGGATTGACATATCAAAAAATTATTATGCTACGTCCACTAGAAGTACGTCAGGTGGCGCGGCGGTGTGGCTCAGGCGCGGCGATGTGGCTCAACAGGCTAAGCGTTAGGAATACGCTCGCCACCGCACCTCTAATTACTCTGCGTGGGTTCGCAGGTTCGAATCTCATGCAGGGATGGTTATGTGCGAGAAGATTGCTGGTCTCCTCGCCGTCGTTGGGTGGTTCACGTAACCGCTGGTCGGTTACGGCTTCCTCCACCACCAAGTCCATGCTTCCGAAAACAAACAATACAGTACTGCAGTAAAACTAATCCCATACCCGACTTATTTAACCGGACGAGAGGCCGTGGTTCGCCATATGGATAAGCCGTCTTATCGGCTTTCCTCTCCCCCGGGATAAATATGTAAATCCTATCCTATCCTAGGTACGAAACTGCACGAGACCCTATCTCAGTATCTAGATAGTAATCTACATGAAATCAATACATGCCGCTACCGGTCGTCTAAAACTCTAAAAGATACGAGCAAATGATTCAGTATTTACCAGAAACTTACCAGAGATTTCGTTTTTTTATTACGTTGCGACATACTTCAATACTTTTTATGACATAATATTCATTTCATTGCGAAAAAAAGTTTTGCGAAAGGAGCGAAATATCGAAACTTACGAATGCATAGCTAAATCAAAGCCGGCGAACAAGCCTGTTGACGTATGTTGCTCAGTTACGAACACACAAGCAATTCTAAATCAAGCGGTTGCTTTGAAAAAAATCATGGTTACGGTTTCCCGAACATTGACTTTTTCGTTTACTTCCGTAACATTGGCTAATCAGCAAGATGCCTAAATTGACGTAACAATAGACATACTGCAACTGCTTAGACACTTTTTTCATTCGGCCAAGTTTTCAGACATGGTTGTAAACATTACCTCGTTTTTGCATGTTATTTGTTTTCGGAAATGCATGAATCAAATTACTCAATAATCATTTTGTTTTCCTAGGAGTTGTAGTTCAATTGCAGTAGTCGAAAATTACTCCAGGAATAGCTATGGTAGAGGGAGAGAGAGAACCAGAAAACAAGCAATGGTGCACTTTTAAAGAACATGTTGTTGAATGTTTTGAATAAAAAGATGATTCAAGCATTCAAGGATCAAAATTCGCGAAATCACTCTAAAAATGAAAATTTGCAAAGAAAGAATTTTCATGGGATTAAAGGCCATGAAAACTTCCAATGGATGCACAAATTCGAAACAAACAGATACAGCTGTACAGTCGATTATGACATAATAATGACATAATAAATATTGGCGTTATATATAATTTATTGCGCGAGGTTGTGAGCTTGTGACCATGCAGCTTCCAACAATTCCGAATCTGAAGTGTTTTCCAATACTTCGAATAAAAATTGAATGGTAATACGTAGTCCATATTTCTTTTTCTCTTCATATCCTCCTTATGAATATGTTAAATCTTATATACTGTCGAATTGAGGCCAGTTGGTATAGAGGACTTGCACGGGTCACGTGACATTGTTACTGGACGGCAATAAAACAAAAACGTCCATTTGGCTCCTGTCAGTTGCAGGTCGGATTATACGTTTGCGTTTTGTTTGGCTGCTGAAAATGGTTATTTCGTTGTTCTGTTGGCTGTACGTATAGTATAGACAACGAAATGGATCTTCAGTAATATTCCACTGATTTCAAAAGATCCTGAACGTCGCGCAATGTGGATATCATCTATTGCCTATTGGCAGAACTGCTTGGTGTCAAGTCCAGAAGCCATCTTACTTGTGTTTCACTGTTTGCGGACAGCACTTCGTTGATGGTGAGTGATAGTGTGCCGTTATCAATTTCTTTAAATATTCACAAGCTCCCTCATTTCAATGGAAAGCAGATGACAAACTACTGTTATCAGTAGGCCTAGGCGTGGGCCTACTTGCAGTTGCAGACTTGACTTGTGTAAGACAGTAAGGAATCAATAATCTAATAATCAACTACTGTTATCAGTAGGCCTAGTTGCAGACTTGACTTGTGTAAGACAGTAAGGAATTAATCTAATAATCAACTACTGTTATTAGTAGGCCCAGGCGTGGGCCTACTTGCAGTCGCAGACTTGACTTGTGTAAGACAGTAAGGAATTAATAATCAATTGCTGTAAGGTATTGTTTCCCTAATTAGCAGGTAATCTTTTACTAAGTGTGGAAGGTTGAATAGATAACTAACGTTTAACACCAGGGGTCATGCAAAAAATAACCAGAATTCAATTGAGTTCGCCATCTAGGAATACACTCGCCACCGCATCTCTGATCACCCTGGTAGTTTCACAGGTTTCAATCCCATGCGGGGATAGTTATGTGCTAGAGGATTGCAGCTCCACTCCCACCGACGGTGGTTCACATGACCACAAATCGGTTACGACCATTCCCCACCATCCAAGTCCATGCTTCTGAAAACAAATAACTGGCTCCCCCCCAGATAAATCCTATTCTAATGGTGCTTGTACAACTGATTCAAAATGTCTTGTTATTGTCATTGGTAAAAAAGATATGCTACCCGGAATCAAATTCATTTACGACTAGTGGCTGTGGTGGGATATGGACATAAATTTCACACTCCTTGATCGTTAGATTTTATGAAAACTCTGTATCCATTATCTTACAGATATGGGTGATTTTATGAAAACTCTGAATCTGTATCCATTATCTTACAGATATGGGTGCGACCATGGAATAGATGGATGGCAAAGTATAAGTTGCAACAAGACCACAGTGGCACAAAACCTCAGCTTGCGTGACTTGATAATACATCCTCAGTATCCATTTATTGATGCTTATCGTAATGACAAAGTAACTTGTCATTACTGTGGATTGGTGAAGATAAAGTGTCCATTGTGCTTTAACGAAATCAACTTCAAGACGACCCTATCAAGAAAAAAAATTGTTTCGGTGGGTCTGGTCGTGAAGGTTTCAGTCTAACGTTGGACACCGATACTACAACCAGATACAGTTGCCAATGAAACTTAAGCGAGGCGTAATATTGCGACTTTGTGATCTGAAAGGAAATTCTGATGGGTAGCCGGCTAGCCGCAACCTTTTGTTTAAAGAATATTATTAGATACGACTTAAGAGTCTAAACGTTTATTTGAGAGGGGTGTAACCCAAGCTAATTTGCAAATAGTATTCATGGTACCAAATGTATCACACACTTTACAGTAATTATAAATTATATTTGAAAAATAAAGCACATCAAAAATGTATTTTTAAAAAACAATTGGTTTTATCTGCAGATACTAGGTTGATATTGACCATTTCAATGCTAAATTTTCTTTAGTCAAAAGGCACACTTGATTAGCAAAAATTTGTGAATGCGCACAGTACACCAATTTGTCTAATGTTTTGATTCCATAGGCAGGAGGTTGTGGATCGGTGGGGCTCAGGATGGGATATTTTTGCCTCTAAATGCATATTACGTGTTTCACATGAATCCATCGTGCTCAGATTCGACTCTTTTCAAAGTCTGAAGGCTCCAACAGCCTTATTTTATGGGTACACGAGAGAATTTTCAGTGTGGCATGCTTGGGTCAGTTGGAGTCACTAACCTAAAGATATCTATAAGCAAGGATAAGATAACCTGGAAGTAACATTCCATAATTTAGAGTAAAAAATGTATCTGCCTCCACAGCCCTTTCAAATGAAAGATGATGCCTCGGGGGTAATTTCTATCAAATATTTTACAGTATTATGGTTCTAGTGAAAAGAGGTGTAGGCGGCTTTTTTTAAAGTGTGGTAGGTCTAGTCGAAAGACACATTAAGTGTTTATGCTAACAACTGCGAATAAATATTGCAACGCATACAAGTTAACAGAATTTGTTGAAATGGTCCTGCCTTTTGCCTTTCTTCAAAATCCTCCTTTTTTTAACTATTCTCTTCTTCTCTGAGGATGGCGAAAATTCAAATATTGATGGGACATGTGAGCAGCTGATAATGGGTCATCTTCCCTTTTTCCTGAAAATAAATTAAACACTAATCATCATTTGACAGTGCCAAGTTTGTGTATCAGATCAGTAATAAATTACCTGCTAACTAACAAAACAATCAGACAACACCTTCTGGCCATTAATGAAGATTTCTTTCAATTTAAAACGCAACTATGCCTACCAATGTGGTTAGTTTTTAGGATAGAATTTACCTGTGGTTGGGGACAGATTGCAAGGTGCAACATCGTACGATTACCATTCTATGTCGGGATTAGTTAGCCAGTTATTTGTTTTAGAAGCATGGACTTGATGGTGGGGGATGTCGTAATCGACCAGCGGTCGTGTGAACCACCCTTAGTGGGAGGAGAGCTGCAATCCCCTCGCACAAAACTATCCCCGCGTGGGATTGGAACCTGTGAAACTCCCAGGGGGATCAGAGATGTGGTGGCGAGCGTATTCTCAGATAGAGAATTCAATTGAATTCTGGTTATTTTTTGCATTAGCACTGGCGTTAAACTTTAGTTATCTATTCAAATTTTCACACTTACTAATAGATTACCTGCTAACTAGGGAAACAATACCTTATGGCAATTATTGATTAATACCTTACACGAGTCAAGTATGCAAGTAGGCCTAAGCCTCCCAATAACAGTAGTTTGTTATCTGCTTTCCATTGAAATGAGGGAGCTTATTAATATTTAAAAAAATTGATAACGGCACATCATGACTCACCATCAACGAAGTGCTGTCCGCAAACAGTGAAACACAAGTAAGATGGCTTCTGGACTTGACACCAAGCAGTCCTGCCAATTGATGATATCCACATTGCGCGACGTTCCGGATCTTTTGAAAACAGTGGAATATAGCTGAAGATCCATTTCGTTGTCTATACTATACGTACAGCCAGCGGAACAATACGAAATAACCATTTTCAACAGCCAAACAAAACGGAAACGTATAATCCGACTTGCAACTGACAGGAGCCAAATGGACGTTTTTGTTTTATTGCCGTCCAGTAACAAGGTCACGTGACCCGTGCAAGTCCTCTATATGCCTTGCTCCTAAATGATGAAAAGGTGCGAACGCCGCGAAGGTGAAACAGCGGAATGCAGACAAGGACGTGACTTTTGGCACGTTTAGCTATAGGTCGCGCTTGTCTTAGTACTTAAGTCAGGCGGAAATTGATCGTCAAGACTAGTTCGATCGTATTGTCGCGAAGGTATACTGTAACTTGATAATTATAAACTAGTATATCTATATCAGTGTGTAATAATCTAGATTAGTAGATTGTGTACCGGTAATCGTGTAATTTGATTCGCTGATTCGATTCATGTCTCATGGGAAATTCCCCTGCTTTCAAAGGAAGGGCGAGGCTAACTGTTAATGACAGTAGGTAGTACCGAAAATGAAAGACCTTCAAATAATTTAAAGTGTTTTCTCTCTAAAAACCTTTGATAAACAAATAAAAATGTAACTTTGTGATTGATTGTAATGTCTGAATGTTGAGTTAACTATCTACATATCTACCAGTAACTACATTTATTTACGATTATTCTGGTATTGGGGTCTGATAATTCTAAAACTCTATTCTGCCATTAGATTTCTTCATAGTCCCTTAAACTGTCAAATCTTATTCAGATATTTAATGCTAGATTTCCAGACTGTGCTTGCACATCACGTGCTTAGTATGCATGAATGATGAATCTTGTAAGTGTATAAATATTTCCAAGGTACAGTTAATCTGTCTGTAATTGAATATAAAGGGATCTGTCATTCATTACAATAATATCATTTCTACTGTATCTAATAGCAGAATAGTCTCTATGCCAATTTACTCGATTCTGTCATTTTTGGCTCATCATTGTATAGCGCAGTGGTTTCCAACCGGGGTTCTGCGGCACCCTAGGGTTCTGGCAGAAGAGCCCAGGGGTTTCGCAAGTTTCCATTGGGAACGAACAGTATAGTATTTATATCAAATACCTATTAGGTTTGCAATTCTTATAAACATGACACACTTTCAGAATCATTTTGCTTTACCAGTATTAGGTTTGATTATAGTATCTTCATAGTTTATACAAATCAGACGATAATAAAAGTCATTCAAATTAAACTATTGTACAGGGGTTCCTCGAGCTACTGGAATGTTTCATTACACATTAGGGTTCTGTTCCATCCAAAAGATTGAAAACCACTGGTGTAGAGATATACAATCTACAACAATAGATCACGTCAGTAGATTAAGAAGGCTATGTCGAAAAATGTCTAGTGTCCTGTCATTTATTTCGCACAATTCCTTGACACACTTGGCTTGCTAATCATAATTTTTACAATGGGATATTTCTCAATCTGTATTTTAGATAATACAAATAAGTTAAAGGATGGCTTCTTACAAGATTGTTATGGTAAGACATGGAGAAAGTGAATGGAATAAAGAAAATAAATTTTGTGGATGGTTTGATGCTGATTTAAGTGAGAAAGGAGTAGCAGAGGCCAATGCTGCTGGAGAAGCACTCAAGAAGGAAGGATTATCTTTTGACCTAGCATATACATCAGTCCTAAAAAGGGCTGAAGAAACTCTCGATATGGCTCTGAAAAAACTAGGACAAACTGATATTCCAATCAAACACACATGGAGATTAAATGAACGTCACTATGGAGGACTAACTGGATTGAATAAAGCTGAAACGGCTGAAAAGCATGGAGAAGAACAAGTTAAAATATGGCGACGAAGTTTTGCTACTCCTCCACCTCCGATGGACAAAAGCCACCCCTACTACAGCATAATTGCGGAGGATAAAAGATACAAGGATGTACCAAATGAAGAAATGCCAATGTGTGAAAGTTTAGAATTAACAATAAAGAGAACCCTACCTTTCTGGAATAATGAAATAGTTCCACAGATCAAAGCTGGAAAGAAAATCATTATTTCTGCCCATGGAAACAGTCTGAGAGGAATCGTGAAGCACTTGGACAACATGTCAGATGAGGAAATAATGGCATTGAATCTTCCTACTGGAATTCCATTCATTTATGAGCTTGATGAGAACATGAAACCCATCGTTTCAATGCAATTTCTAGGTGACGAAGAGACTGTGAAAAAAGCTATGGAATCAGTTGCAGCACAAGGACAATCTAAAAAATAATAATTCTTTGCAAAAAGCACTGTGTATTTGTATTAACCAGTTCTGCCATTTTTTTCTCTCAATAAGTTCACAGTAAATGATAATATCTGTAAAACTCATTTCAACAAAATTTTTCCTTTATAATTTTCATGTATTGCTGTATTCTAAATGGAGTTTTGTGTGTGAATATATATTTCAATGTTAAATACTTTTGTCAGAATAACACACTTTACAGGGAGTTATTCACATCTATTCAAATACCATGGACAGACAGCATGAGCATGTAGTAGCCAATATTTCCTACAAAGTACAGTTGTCCTAGATTAGTTCATTCTTTTAACGATGGTATTATCTGAAAAGGATCATATCTCATCGCGAATAATCAGCCAGATTCAGTAATATGCATTCTTGCAACAATTGAGAGTAAATTGTCAAAGAGTCATTCCAAATTAAACTAGACGATCCTTAGTCCATTGTTATACACTTCTAAAGGTTACCTAAGATTCCTTCACTAACCACGGCAAGTAGTTTGTGAGGGTTCCAACAGAGAGGACTACAACTGCATCGCCCCAGACTTGGCATTGATGAACATATTTTATTTGCATCGGACAAATGTATTAGTACATTCCCATGCCACCCACTGAGCGTTACAAGTTCTAATGAAAAAAATCAACTGTTACTAATACTTCAAAGTGCGTTTAAGTTGAGCAAAAACACTTTTGAGTATATATCAAACTTTCTAAACCTCCAGTTGTAACACCAATTTATAGTTTTTGGTGTTTATTACACCTTGAAGCAAACAATACACACTATGGAATTAATGAAACAAGCACGTATTTCAGAAGTTAGTGTCTCAGAGAAGAGACAACTCAGCAAAGCAAACCATTTTATAATTTACAAGACGTTCAAAAAGTGCAAAACTATCAAATTACGTTCATGAGTAGTTTAGTGAATCTGGTACCCTCCAATTGCTCAGATACTGATGATGATCTGAACATTAGAAATAAGGGATTTGTGTCAAATCTTCACAAAGTTGAGTATGCATCATATGATTTTAAAAAAGCAATATTTCGATAAACATAATTTCTTTGTGAAGGCATTTAAACAGGAATGATCAGATCAATTGAAACATGCAATAAGTTTTTCTAAATAATAGGCAGGATCACTAACTTCTAACAGGTTTCCATTTTACTGGGAAGGAAACTGGTGAGAGGCTGCAGATGACTACTGTGAACATGGTACGTTATCCAAGAACTACAGGGCAAAAAGAATGAAACAACTAATTAAATTTGTCGCATCATGTCTACTAACATTCCAAACCGAGCAAGAGTAATTTAAAAATTTTCTGGAGCTCTTCATCGAGGACCAATTTTATATACATACCAGGTCATACGTCTGCTGGCAAAAAATCATCCATAAAATGCATACTCACATAAAATACACTAGAAGAATAAACATTGAATCAGAAAGATACAAAATAATTTGAGAAAAACAAAATATAATAATACAGTTCACAACCAATGCATCAAAGGAACATTTTTGTCTAGGCTGCAACAGGTTTACTTCAAATTGTTTGTACAATGTAGATAAAATCACCAATTGCATCCTAAATATATTTAAATGCACATGAAACCAGAAATTCAATTAAAATGGCAATGGGTTGTGGTAAACGACGATTAATCAACAACGTAATTTGAAATCTTGTAATTTGTAAACCACATTTTATAATATAACATGAGAAGATGACAACAAACGTGAAAACTAGCTTCTGGATATTTTTTTCAGTCATTTTTCATACACACACTGAATATAATTTTGCAGTTTAACTATATAGCAAGTACAAACCGTAATTCACATTTCTTTCATTCATTATTGCTTTTTTTAACCAATGTCAAATAATTGGAGGAATTACCAGCAGGACAAGAATATATACTCCTTTGAATGCTTTCCATTATAAATTGATAATTTCACAACTACATAGCATCAAATACACAATTTTCAAAAATTCACAATCCTATGTTCGCCATGATTTCGCATGATGGGACCTGAAGCATTAACAGTTATCTGTGACAATTCATTAGTTCGGTTTCCAACAGGTACTTATAATAATACAAAATTTCAATACTATGTACATATTTGGTGGTATTCATGCAATACGTGTAGCTATCTCCTTAGGAGTCCTGGCTTATTTGGGTTTGACAAATTTTTGAAAGCAATATGTGCGTGAGTGTGATTTTTGCCTATCTTGCAAGTGACGTTATCAGACTTGAACACATTTCAAAAAATTCCATCGTGTGGTGAATACCGGGAGGCCCTAGGCTTTTCAAACTGGTGCGATCAGGTGACATTTGAGGTTTGGGCAGCGAAGATGCTTCAGATGAACTGAGTTGAGAAGTGTCTTCTGGAACTAAAGAAATGTTAGTAAGAATTAAATGAAGTATCCAAAGATTCTTCAGGTCAGTCAAATTCCATAACAGGTACTGCTGGACAATTTTAGATTAAGTAAATGTGATATAGAAACGCAAAAATAAAATTACCATCAACAGCCATCTGGGATGGCACCGAAGATGGTCCTGGAATTTCAAATCCCATCGATTTTGGACGTTGTCGTGACAACATATCTTCACTACTGAAACTACTTTCCATGCTTCTAGGTATATCCTCTGCTAGGCTACTGAAGTCAAGAAGATAGCTTTTGTAGTCAACTTGGTAGAGCTAATGAGAGAAAAAATAGAACGTGAGATATAAAAAAAAAGTTACATACATTTATTGTTTGGAAAAGTTTGGGATAAAATATAACATAAGTATGGGCAATACATGTACTTTATGATAGGGGAAATATAATGGCAATGTTATTGACTTGTTAAATCTAATGGATTCCACTTTTATTGCTATTTAAATCTGAAAAACACAATATTACTGTAAATGCCACAAGTTATAATCCTCGAAAATCAGTCAGTAAATGCAGGGTAAAAAAGACGATTACTAACAAACCTGAAGATTTATTTTGTTGACATGGCCACTAACAGGATTCATTCTTCTTACACGAACATGGTATGGTGTGATTATTTTCCACTCAAATTGGAGTCGTTTCATTGCTCTGAAGACCTGTATTTAAATATGAAACACCGCATTATGACAAAGTAAGAAAAATATTGTTGAGTAAAATGAAATTATTTTAACTTTTGATTTTCAATAGAAATTGCAGTGGTATTATTGACAACAGCTGATTATACTACCATGACCATAATGTGGAATCTTCAGAATCATGATAATCTGTGGAGATTCTTTTTTAATTAAGCTTGAATCAAAAATGTAATTTTGTAATCAAGTGAAGCAGTCAAAAAAACTGATATAAACCTCTTTAAGAATATTATTTCTTTTAAATGAAATTTCACAGCTATACTTGTTTAAAACGGTATAGTAACAATTTTACAAAAAAGATAGCTCAGCTGTATTCTGGTGTTGAATATAATCAATATAGAAAAGCAGTCACCTCATACATGATATCTCTGGGTTTGCTCTGGGATCTGATTCCCAAATGCCATTTTGCCTTTTTCATTGTTGCAGGACGTGGTCGTACATTCGCAGCAGGATCTGCGACTGGGGGTAAGCCTGTTGGAACTGCATCCATCAATGGTGCAATACGCTCAGGATGAGAAGATGGTCGTGCTACATGTGGACTCATCAAGTTAAAGCCACCCTTAGGTGGGCTCTGTGCCAAGAAAAAATCTTGAGCTTGGCTGTAGATTATCTGGTAACATAAGAAAAATGTTGTACTTTAGTGCAGCAATATTGAAATTGATAACATGATAACTCAAAAAACATCTTGCAAAGTGTAATAATAAATTGCAAATTCAAGTGGCAAATTATTGTTATACTATTTCAAACAATTCTTATTTATTCACTATATTTACCTTGTTATCAATAATCAAATGATAAGCAACGTTCAGTGGATCCTCAGGTCCATTATGTTTCAATGCATGTATAACTTCATCTTCAGAAACTTCAAACTTTTTACATACCTGATGAGGATAACAAATTAAAATAGTAGTTCAAAGTAGAAAAGAAATGCTGTTGATGACATAGCTAAGTTGTTCACATATGCAAATTAAAACAACAGCTAACAAAGGATAAGAACTTCCAAAATGAATAGCAATGCTTCAATGATAATCTCAATCGAAAACAAAAGAAAATATTCCTGTAATCAAGAAACATTTTGATATAATACTATGTAAAGTTGCAATATACATCAATATATTACGATACTTCCAAAATTATTGATGTAAAACAACTAAATTTAAGGAAAAATTCGATAAAACAATCCAACCTCAGCCAATGCATCTTCGTTAATGATATCACTGGTATTTCCTTCCTCTGGAAACAAATATCTCGGTAAATCCTGCTGAAACCAGGGATATCCTCGAATATCTTCAACTGTCGCTCTTTTCATTGGATCAACCTGTTGTATTATTTTGAGAAATCAACAATATTGTAGGTAGACAGATTTTAATAAAGTAATTTAGTAATCCAATTCCAATGTACTGGCCATAATGTAAAAAGTTTGGAATCATTTATTTCAAGCCTATTTAGATTAATCATGCAAGGAAATAAAATACGCAATAAGCCATTGTGTTCATAATCAACATGGAATTCATAAACAGTAAAACCTATAAATTCTTTCTTGCATTCATATTTTGGACGTTATTTTCTCAGGTTTTCAAAACTATTTCAACTTACACCAAATCATTTATCGTTCCATATACACCCAAAAGCAAATATTAATCAAAACACCCTCAAAAGCTATTCAAAACAAAAGAACAATTCAAAGGTTCAACCCATAAAATGTGATTTATTTTTATACAGTGATAGGGAAATGTAGATTTAATTACCAATATCCATCTATTTCGAGTTGCACCATTGGTAAGCGTATTCAATGCCTAATTAAGGCATATGCAATGAGTTCACTGATAGTACATGTTATTGAATCACTTTTATTAATAAAATATACATGTTCCTGTTTTTTATTGACTTGAAAAAAAAAAAAAAAGATATTTACATAATGGGAAATTGAAGACTAATCATAAAAACATGTTGCTGGGATTCTATTTAATATGTGGAGAATTTGTCTGTATTTACATAGTGAGACCATTCATTCAGAGAAATTGTATATTGACTTCATTTCATTTTAGGACTTACAATATATTTTATTATGATCCAAGCACCATAAAACTTAACAGTGATTTATAGATATAGCAACTGGTGTATCGAACTTTTGTCTCTCAAAAACAACATAAATTTAAAAATAATTGTTTTTTACTCTTAGCATGTGTTTGATAAGACTTGCTGCTCCTTTGTCCAAATAATGAGGAACGTCAAAAACTCCACTTCTTATCTTTCTGAACAGACTAGGGATATGCTCATCATCAAATGGCAGAGTTCCACATAACAAAGCATACAAAATGATGCCACTGCTCCATACATCAACCTCAGGTCCAGCATACAACTTTCCTATTATGCAATACAAGGTTAATATAAAAGTAAGAAACACTCAATAAAGCATGCTGTAAGGGCCCTTGCTTTGATCAGCTTGAACCCCAATAACACCAAAATTGATATCATATAATCTGTATTAATTTTACCATATATACATGCAGTCATTGAATAGAAAATTTGAGCAAAATTATATTTCAAACTATATTCAAAACAATATATACCCAACAAGCAACAACACATTCTTTTATTATTTTTCAATTTTGAATTTCTAATACAATTAAGTATATTAATATCATAAGCAATTATGTATAATAAGCAGGTACAGAAATAAAAATTTTATAGTTTAATTGAGTTTGACGACGCAACAGTTTAAATATGATATATTATTTATTACAGGTCAATAATTTCAGTCAAAGTTGCAACATCTGACAATGAGTAAAGGGTTGAAAGAAAACAATATTTGCTTTCCAATGTTATATTTAGTGAGTAGAAACACACACACATATTGTTATATAAATCTCCCCATCTGAACAATTAAATTCATGCAGAATTGTGTTTTTATATTAAACTAGAAGTCTAGGAAACCTACAAAATTTAAATTGCTATGCAATTTGTCATACAAAAGGTATGTTAAGGTGAGTTAATATTACAAGATTGTAGTTAGGAAAAAAAATGAATCTTGGATAATCAAATATTTACATTTATTAGACTAACAGTTATCATTTTCATCCTCTACCATAACACTGGAACAGCTAAGAAATAAAATATGATATCTGACATTTCTCCATATTGAATCAAATTTTTCTTAAAACACTTGCTATCACCTGTTGCCGTATTTCATACATATAATTTTACCTGATATAACCTCTGGAGCTGCATAATTGGGTGAACCACAACTTGTGTTGAGAAATTCCCCATCCGACATCATATTAGACAAACCAAAATCAGCAATTCGTACATTACGATTGCTGTCGAGAAGTAAATTTTCAGGCTTCAGATCACGATGAACTACTTTATGCCGATGGCAGTAATCAACTCCTAGAAAATTAACATAAACACATATTAGATAATTTATACCAACTACATTACATCTGTGTCATTGCGTGTACAAGTAAAATATGAATATGTTTTTTATTACAAATTATATCAGATATAAACAAATAAAATACATCAATTTCAATTATAGTGGTAATATGTTTGTCGAACAAACAAATTTTGTAATTTACAACAATATATACCTGAAATAATTTGCTGAAAAAATTTCCTAGCTTCAAATTCCTTCAGTTTTCCATTTTTCACAATGTAGTCAAATAACTCGCCTCCAGGAACATATTCCATCACCATAAATATATCAGTAGGGGTGCTGAAAACCTGATAAAGCTTGATAATATGGGGGTGACGAAACAACTTCAAATTTTGAATCTCTCTCTTGATTTTGCTAACAACATCAAGTGATTTGATTTTCCTTCTATTCAAGATTTTGACCGCAACTTTGTGTCCAGTAATATGATGTGTTGCAATCTTCACTTTACCAAATGTGCCAACACCCAAAGTAGGACCAAGTAAGTAATGCCCAATCTTCATAGGTTGAATTTGGCTAGCCATATCTAGCTGCTAACTAATCACTCAACACAATGATAAACGAATTAACTACCTACTCTGTTCAATAAAAAATTAAATTGATTAAAAAAAATTTCAGAGATATGTCAGATTTCTATTTGAATTAGAGAAAATCCCAGACTTTTTGTAAGAAGTTCATGACAGAAGAATACAGCAGTTATTAAAGAAAAAGGACTTGAAATATGATTACAAATTCATAACGCACAAAATCCAGATTGCTCATAACAACCTGAAGTGAGAATACATTTACATACATATTATACGGATAGCCCGTTATTGCATAGTCTAAATACTATCATCTGGTATATTTTGTGTACACAGTACAACTAAATAGTAATTGACAAATCTAATCATGACATATTTTTCTTTTTGAAATAGTTTCAGGCAGGAGCACTGTGATAGTACTTCAGATAATTTGAATAATAGTTTTGCGAATAAATTTGTAATTGTTTAATTCAGTGGTTCCCAACCGCCGGTCTGCGGGAAATTTTATTTTGTAGTTTTTCTACCGTCTCAATCGCTTTACCGAGGCCGAAAAGACGAAGTTGGTTTATCACAAAATTTCTCTCCCGTCGTCATATTGCTGTTAGATACGAGCAGAGCGGTATGGCCCGACGACGTCTTGGCGCCGAGTAATCACACTATTCGCTTTTTCTGTTCCGATTCATCACGGAAGCGCTCAGTCAAATCTCGCAAGATTCAGAAACCTGCAAATCAGCATGCGTGCATTTTCCTTTCTGAATGCTTTTCTTGATTAAGAAGTCGAAGTTACGTTGGTTTATTACGAAATTTCTCTTCCGCCGTAATATTGGTGTTTGATGAGTGCGGTATTAATGGCCCAGCGACGTCTTGGCTCCGAATAATCACATTTTTCGCTACCGATTTATCGCGAAAGCGTTACGCCAAATCTCGCAAGATATAATATTCCAGAGCTTTACCATAACACCCAGCGAGATATGAACTTGTTGCGACCCTGCAGGTGGTCATGAGACGCGCAACAAAAGCGGGTTGATGTGTTGAACCCGATGAACAGATTTATAAAAGAATCATTGTCACAATTCATTCTTGGACTTTCTTGATATCGAATACCCATCGCTAAGTAATCGAGCAATCAACTGTTGTCTGAATTTTCAACCAGTTACTTCGAGCTTTAATTAAAACGAAGCAAATAAATTGAATGTGAGCCGCTGCAAAGCTACGTCTTGCAAAACCTTTTTTCGATGCCTCGTTTGCAATCCCGTATTGGAAACGAAACAGTATCAAAATTCTCACTGGAATTAATTGTGTTACTACATGATTTGGCATATACATGTTTTTATGTGATATGTGTGCCTTTTTTACGCATAATGGGTGCCCAGCACTGGATTTTATTACGCAAATATATGCTATTATTTAATGTTCCACACATTTCAATTTTTGGCCGGCACATTATTTGATAGTTTTTCCTCATGTGAAATGTTTTTAAGTGTGCCTTTTTCATCTAGAAGCATAGTGAGTGCCCTACATTGCATTACATTTCGCACATATATGTTATTATTTTCTATTCCACTCATTTCATTTTTTTGCCGGTTCGCGAGTACATTTTATTTAATTTTACCGGTCCGCCAGGGTAGAAAGGTTGGGAACCACTGGTTTAATTGGTTCGATTTGACCAGTCGCTTGTCTGAAGAAGTTTGATCTCATTCAGACAAAATAACAGAGAAATACATTTCTGTGACTGAGCAGTGAATATGTAGTCTATGTCTAGTATAAAGAAACCGCAACAGATAGTGATTCAAAACTGCATTTCCGATCATTCATTGAGTTTATGTCGATGCTGTGCATAAAAAAATTGAATAATACTGATATTATAACTTCTAGCTCCTCTGGAAATGATAACAGTTATTCAAATCCGTAATCATCAATGACAGTCATCACATTTGAGTCTCGAGTGTCATTATAGTATTATACCAAGTTCTTTTTTTTCATATCTCATATTTAAATAATGCTTTTGAATATCTCACTGCAGTACTGCTTGATTTGATTTCAGTGTGTTATTCATAGCCTAGTTCAAAGTGCAGAATTGTAGATTGAAAAATAGGCAAAGTTGGTTCGATATATAACAGAAATAGGTTTCTTTCAGCTATTGAGTTATTTCAGTATTCATTAAATTCGACTAAACTGATATTTTTTGAACACGAATGCATACAGATTCAACTTATGTACCTACGGCATACATACATTACATATCTGCACATGCTACAATGTAGAAGCAAAATTTCAAATTTAGCAACCTTCAAGTTTAACAACACATGCTGACATGATCAGATGCTAGCACTAGCGGAGTGTTCAATTACCTGAATTCAGGAATTACTGACAAATCCCATTATTTCTTCAACCCTGTCAAACAGTCACAGGATGCAATACGCCTGCTACTGTACCGCCAATATTCTTTTCTTCAAATCAAGTATGGATTTGTAATGATATTGTGAATAAAAATTTCCAAAAACTCTACTCCGTCTTCAATGTATACCGGTCCCCGTCTCGGATACAGCAATACCTGGTTTGGCCCAACATTGCAACAAACCTCAGACAACAACACTACAAGAAAAGAAAAACAAACCCAGAATGAACAAAAGTATATGGAGTCAAATTTCAAAATCCGAATGTTACGGTAACGCCTAATTGCCTACCGGTATGTATCGCAAGTGCGGTTGGGATTTCGGGGCTGGATTTGAAATTTCGTGATCGTTATTTTTATGTAACAGTCCAGGATTAAAAAAATAAAAAGGTACGGTATTGTTTATGAAACGGACAAAGTCCCGGTGTTTTTCATATGATTCAGCCGTCCTATCGGCTTTATCTCCCCCTCCTCCAAATTGAATCATCGTCGGTCCCCACAGAGTTAAGATCATCGTCGCTAGATTTACACACAGGGTTGACTACTCGCTGAAATTTTCCGTTTTTCCCGGATTAATGTACGGAGCTATTTTCTCCCTATCCATCTTACACCCGGTTTTTGTCTTTCGTCGATAAGCTCCGGTTTTTGTCTTTCGTCGATAAGCTTTCTCATCTCTTGCCCGATTGTTCACAGCAGATGCGGGTTCTTCACATGCCAAACTCTGTCTTTACGTTCGCGCTGTTCCTTCCCTCAACTACTTTTTACATTCTGCCTGGCTGCAAGCTAATTCGCTTCGCTGGCATTTTTCTTCCTTACCCACGTTGGTCCATAAAAGGGAACATAAATCGCAGCAATATGATGATATTAAATACATGAAAACATCTTTTATGTGGGGTTAGTTGGCGGGACCGATAAAGGCCCATGGCAACACCTGTTGTACCAACTAACTTGTTTCCTTATTCACATCTGTAGCCAGACAAAAGGATGCAATTCCATGGGGTATAACATCACATATTTCCGACTGCTCTTTAGAAGAGGGGTGTCAAACTCACGGGTTTTCGAGGGCCGCATTGCATTTTGGGAATTGTGCAAAGGGCCGCAAACAGTTTTTGATAATGTATGCTTGAAGCATATTTTTGGATAGATGTACTTTGTGACATATATTGTGATGCAATTAAACAGCCGAATGAAGTTTTGTTGTTATTTTCTTAAATTTCAAATGCCATTTACATATTAATTTTTGCATTTACTATTATTGCAATTTACTGTGTTTATTACAAAAAATAATCAATTTTTTTATACAACTATACAAAACTGAACTAAGTTTGGATATGAAAAAAATAATAGCCTACATACACTAAAAATGACTTGAACTAAATATATAGACCTAAAATTTACAAAAATACCACAGAATAACTCAAATGTTTTTTTTTATTACATATGTTCTGACGTTTGGCATCTCTTGTGCCACCAGCATACTAATATCAGGCTGAAATGATTTTGCAGTTCCAACTCTTATTAACGAGGTCACATGATCATCGGTCAATCTGGATCGTTGAGAATGTTTGATTAATTTCAGTAATGTAAAAATATTAGTATATTACCTTTATTATTTCATGTATAGATCAGAAAACAAACAAATGACAGACTTTTCAGACCAGACATTTCAATAACTTGGCATAAGACCGCTCGAGTTATTATTGATATTTAGTATTTGTATATATTTAGTAACTAGGTCGTTGTATACCTATAATAATATACAAACAAATTTTCTGTTTCAAGTTGATCATTAAATTTGTTATATTGACTGCGGAGCTTACTCTGATAATGTCTACTTGTATTGTATTCTTTTATTGTACTGATGGAAATCTGACAAATTTAACAATGTGCTTTAGAATTTTGAGAAATGTAGAAATATTGCAACTCCTATTTCTCTTCAAAAATGTCACCTTATTCATGTACTTTGCGTTTCATTCAATCCCTGAAGTGTTTTTTTTTTCACAAGTATTCTTTTGCTAGATTGAGGTGTATTCAAAATTGGGTCAAATTGAAAACGGAAAAAACTTCAATTTTCCAAAATTCACTTTGGAAAATTTTAAAAAATGTATTACGTTTAGATAAAAAAAAAATTCAAAATATTACGATTTTTGGTAAGCATTCGAGGGCTGCATTGGAAGTTGGAGTTTGACGCCCTTGCTTTAGAACACGATTGTTTGTAAATGATCTATTAATTGCTCAAAATCATTTTAGAGATGTTAAAATATACCATTGACATAAAACGACTTCGCTAATTATGACTAATTTGATTTATGATATAAATTGGTATTAAAGAAAGCTCCATACTCCATAGAATATAAAGAGTGAAAACTTCTGAACCTGCATAATGTTCAATCAGCTCTACCGCTTCTACCCAATGGCATATCTCGGCCAAGATAATAACACTACAAACTGAAAATCATGATCAAATACAGAAAATATCAGAGGAATGACACAAGCTTATTGCAATAAAAAATTTGAAAAAAGCAGCTAGAAGGTTATTGTATATATACGTGAAAAGATTTATGTTACGTTGTTGCAAACAAGTACAACAGACCCTTTGCAAATTGGATTATCTCAGTTCCTCCAAGCTTTGATTCACCATAGAATCTATCAACAAATGTGATTGGAACCTGGAAGTGAAATATGATATTTTTGATAAATTCCCAACAATACTGGCCAATGGCCATATCCTTATATCACCCACGAATTGAAACACCCACCAATAAATTAATATTTCTATCATCAATCATGACTTTTACCAATGTATCAAAAGACTGACACACAAAAACTGTTACAAGTTTCGAACATGAAAATCCAATATGATAAATTTCTAGTTTCAACCATATATTTATGAAGAGAATTTTTTGATCGTTGTTACACAACCAGTTGTTACTTGTACAGTCTTGATTTTATTGAGACTTGTCTATGGTCCAGACAAGCATTAAATATAACGCAAGTGCATGGTTGGAGCGCAAGTTACTGCCATGCCAATGCAAGAGTGTGGATGCTTGCTGCAACCCCTAATATCTTACTTTCGTTCCCTGTTATTGATGATATGACATGCAACAATTAAGATTCTACCTCTCCAATCTTCAGGTCAAACTGTCTTGCCCGAATTATCATTTCCATTTGAAAAACATATCCTCTAGAAATACAAGACGAGATCAGCTTTTCCAAGACATCTTTTTTATACAGTCTGAAACTTCCAGTCAGATCAGATACTCCAGGACGTAGCAAGACTTGAGTGATATAGTTGGCAGTCCGACTGAAAAATTTAAAGCTATACAGAAATCTCCAATTTTTTAAATCACATAAAAAAATAACCACGTTCCAGCAGTATTAGCCATGTAACAATCTTGCAAAGAATTATGTTGCAACTTGCATTGATTGCTATAAACAAAACATCGGCAGAGCGTTATGTATTGTTCATATTACTATTACAAAATATTTGACACAGTCATACATCATTTAGGGCAATCATGTTATATTCATCTTTTCACATAAAATTTAGGGTGTAATAAAAAAAATATTAGGCTAATCCATAATTAAATTACCTAACTAGCTTTCTCTTCCAGTCCCATCCGTAAACACCGCCTTCTCCAATATATCGAGTACCTGATACAACATCACAGTCCCCATCTTCTTGTTTTCTGGCAAACAAAGTAAATGTGTTGAACCAAAAAAATATGTTCATATTTAAACCATACAACTTAGATGTGTCAACAAGTGAGTATGCACAAATGTGAAAATAGGTCATATTCCTTGTATTGTAATCACAAAAGAGTTCATAATCTTACAAATGGTTGATACTGATGAGCTTATTAAACTATTGTAGGATAGAAACACATATATGATACTGATACTCACTTAATGTATTCTGGAATAAACTTTGGCTAAACAAAGAAGACATATGCTAGTAATGAAGCAGTATCATAATAGTTTAGATACATAAACGGGTGTAAGACAACAATTAGTAATACTTTTACATGGCTAATCAAATAACAAATAAACTGCAAAGGAATTGCAACAGTGATTGCTGAAATGAGCTAACAAGCATATAAAGATTACAGAAACATGCCTCATGATTAAGAAATGACTGTTGACCGCATTAACAAAAAATATTTATTCATTGCTTTGTGTATTTCTGATCGGATAAATATTTAATACTTCTAAAATCTGAACATTAAATTATAGAAACAACCACCAAAAGTGGATGATAGCCGATCGACCAGTACAAATCAAATGTGAATGGTACATTTGAGAAACCTGCTGCACAACTATACAATGGCAACTAAAACCATACTCTACTCACGTGATGTGAAAGGTCTGCATCCATTATGAAAATAAAATTGCCTGTTGCATGCTTAATTCCATGAATGTATGCTGTTCCAAGACCCAGTTTCTTTGCTCTTGGGCGCAAAACCTGAATGAATTTATTAGGGCTTTTTATTCAATTTATTAGGGCTTGAACGATTAGAACTTCCAGCCACTGGCTTCTAGAACGCCTGCTCTTGAATGTATGTATGTATCATTTTCACAGTAATCATATAAAATCAAGATGTAAAACTTAAACTTAGCATAATATTTTGCCCAACTTGAAGAAATGCTCAAAAAGTTTCCTTCAAAATTAGAATAAAATGATATTGAATTCGCTTTGTGATCTTTATAGCATGCTTTCAAAACGTAAATATAGAAGTATAAATTTGAATATTGACATAAATTACAGTATTTTAAATGAAATAATTTGCACGAAATCAGAACATACGATATCATTTTTTTATTTATTGAGGTTTTTATAAAATAACATACGATTTTATCTTCTCCGTATATATCCTGCAACTGTTTGGCGACATCTAATGTACCATCTGGACTCCCATCATCAATGATTATAATTTCATGATCACAACCTCTGAAATATTTAACAATCTTTAACTTCGAAATCAATGTGAAAAAAATGGCTCAGATAACTGGGAGGAAATATTACAGAATCCATATTTTAGATAACCATCTATCAATAGTTTTAAATTCTACTGTTTATTTGCTCATACTTTATATTGGAATAATTGAATATGATAAGATACATATATATTAAAATCGAAAACTCACATTTCTTTGAAATATTTCATCAATAGCCAGATAATTAATGGCAAATTTTCCCTTTCATTATAAGTTGGTAACAAAACTGAATATTTATTTTTTGACCCCATAATTCATAAATATATCTATTAAGAAAAAACAAAAAGTGCAGATTTATTCATAGAACACAAACACCACAGATTAAACAAGCGTGAGCCTAAAATGCAACATGCCAATAAATGATAATTGTCATCGGGTACAATATCTTTAAAAACTGAGATTTTGTATTTAGGTGACTTCAAATACCTTCATAATTTAATAACATTCATTAAAAAAAAGACATGCCAGAGGAAGCGTTTTTTTAATAATACGGGCATTTCACACAGTCAGTCACACACAGGGAACTATTTTTCAAAGAACCCAGTTTGGTATTGCCTACCCAATTTATTACAATATTTATTCAACCAGATATGCTAGTTAGGTATAACATTCTTGGCCATCTCAGCCAAACATTAAATAAATCGAAGAGAAAATTAAATGTTCATAACTATGGGGTTGTACAGAAATTTGTAAACAACGAAATAGACATGATTGAAATTTTGAACAATGAATTGCAACAAAAGAAGGTGGAGACCCTAACCCTGTGAGTATGTGGGCTAGCGGCATTAACAGAAAATTTCCAAAGTCGTTGACACAACACAGCTGGAAAAATTTTCATTAACTTAGGTACAAGTTAAGAGTTGACATGAAGTAACTAGTACAACTCTATGTGCGAATTTGAAAAAAAAGAGCAAAAAATGAAGTCATCGAGACTTATGAACAATAGAAGATAATAAATTATTTGATACAGAACCAGAATCATCAGAAGAGCTATCACTTTCCGATTCTTCTTCACTTTTATCATCACTATATGCTGCTAAACCAGGTAATACACCAACAAGCTTAGTTGCTGATGGATAAACTATTGTTTGTGTAAGGTTCTTATCAGCATTGTTTGATTCAGTTTCGGATTTTTGAATTTTCTCTGGTGGACATGGGTTTGTCTGCTCTTTATTAGAAGTTTGAGAACTTGGTACTTTTCGTTTTACAGCATTTTTTAATATGCTTTGTTGTGGATTTTTTCTGACAACCTGTGATTTTTTTGGCAACTCTTTTTTGTCCTCCGCTCTTGTTGAAGAATCTATTGGCACATTTGGAAGTTCTCTTGACTGAGCTACGGCAGTTCGAAAGTCTTCAAGTTCTCTTTTTTCTTCATCCCGTTTCTGTTTGTCAAGTTCAAAGTTTCTCTTTGAGACATCAGAAAGAAAATTAGATTCATCTTGATCTATCCCTCGGAATTGATTTTTAAACTTTAATTGTTCTTCAAACTCATCTTGTTTTTTGTCTTTTTGCTCTTGCAATCGTTCAAACAATGATCTGCTGTCATGAACTTCTTCTGGTGCCTCAACAGGGTCTTCAGGTTTTCTTACTTTTTCCCATTCTTCCTGTCGAACTTTCCTCTTTTCTTCCAACTGTTTTTCAGATACAAAGCTTTTAATACCAGAACTCATTGTGAGTCAGCAGAAGAAACAGATTAGTGGATTAAATGAATATTGAAATATTTTATCCGGCTAAAAACGTATCATTAACGTTAGTTGATGCCAGTGATTTCCCCCCCTATAGGGGGTGAACACCCCCCCTAAAATTTCAAACACCCCCCCTAATTTTGAGGTGCGATTCCACACTGAGAGGTTATAAACCGCAGTCTGCGGGCCAATTACGGCCCGCGTGACCATTTAAAATGGCCCGCCGAACTTGAGTGAAATAGTTTAACCCTTCATGTGGTACCTTTTGAGTTTTAGATACCGTCTATTGTTAAATCATTATCACAGTTTAAGCACGTTTATTTCGTAACAATTGAATTATTCCGGTATCTTATGTATAGGTATGGGTATAATGATTACACACTGCAGTATTTTAGATATCAGCCGTATATTAAGAAAGCTTAAAGATGTCACAAAACGAAAAACTAGGCACTGAAAACAGACGTTTTTTAGATGAATGACAGCGTTTTTATTTCTTTATTGAAAAGAATCAAACTTCAGCGATTTGTCTTCTTACCAACAAAATATTTCAGTTCTGAAGGAATACAACATTATGATCAGTTGACGAGCGTATTTCAAAATTTAATTCATACAAAAGTCAAACAAACATGTTCAAAAAATTAGAAATGTGTAACAAAACTAGCCATAAGTAGCCATTCATACAATGACAGATGAGCAAGTAACTTCATTAGTCACTATCATTTGCAAATTACTTGTTGAAACGTAGTAGTATATATTTACGGTTGAAAGCCGTGCTTGTTATCTATTCCCCGGGAATTCTATCAGCTAAATATTATAATTATTGATTTTATTACATAACAAACTGCGATGCTAGGTGTATCTAAAATCAAGCTTAGAGCCTATTTTGGTGCCTATTTCTCAAATTTTTCTCAGGGCGCTTAAGCGCGCCCTGAACCCCAGCCGTGTCGTCCCGCACTTTTCTTCGCTCCCCCCCCCCCATTTTCTGGTCCTACAATTTCATTCTGCTGTGGATTTTGACTCACCGTCAATCAACTTGGGGGGGCTCCCATGTACATCGTCTCTCAAATACATACCATTTTTTTAAGAATACAAATAGCCTAGTTTTATCTCTGATAGCAAATTATTTACCACCCCATGACCCCCTAAATTTTGAAACACCCCCCCTAAAGAGAAAAGCTGGGGAACATACTGGTTGATGCGCTCAATTACAGAATGTATCTAAAACCATACGGTAAAATGTTTGCACATAGACCAATAAACATCGGTATTCATTAAACAAATTGAATGAAAAATATGCATTCGTAAGCAGCAATAACTGGAAAACAATAGGCTAGCCTAAATGCAATAGGTCGCACACGGGTCTCGTGTAGTTTCGTACCTAACGTACTTCTAGTAGGCGTAGCATAACAATTTTTTGACATGCCAATCCTAACCCTCACCTGACTACGCCATCTAAAAATTACGTCACTACGACGTCATAATCACGTCATAGAGCTTGCCAAATACTCGTACGATCGCCCGAAATAGCATCGGCGCCGACGATAAAGAACTGACTGACGTCAGCGACCTCTCTCCTATCGGGATCGTTGCGACGAGAAAACGAGAGAAATGGCTGTTCGATTTGGGATTCTCGTCTTCGCGTCTTGGATGACAGTTCGCATAGTTTGAAGGGCTCTATTACGTCACTGTGACGTCGTAGTGACGTAATTTTTGGATGGCGTAGTCAGGTGAGGGTTAGGATTGGCATGTCAAAAAATTTTTACGCTACGCCTACTAGAAGTACGTTAGGTACGAAACTACACGAGACCCGTGAGGAGTGAAGTGAAGAGGATGATATATTATCCTACACTGCTAGAGGCGGTGAGGATGAGATGTTATCGAAAAACAGTTTTATCCTACAAACTTTACATATTGCAGCTGGATGATACCATGGTTAACTGAATATTCAGTTAACCATGATGATACGGTACGGTCGGTGCCGGTACGATATAGGCCGCGAGCCGAGGCCCTGAAAAACGCCTTGAAAGTGAGTTTCGTAGCGCACATCAGGTAACTACCTGAAAATGATTTTAAAATGTTTCTTAAAAATTTAGTAACAAATATTGCCTTGTTCCCACTTCCAAAAGTTGCACGTTTTACGGAAAAGACGCTTTTACTACAAGAAATATGTGCTACGATCTGTCCTATATTCTCTACATTTTCGGCAAGGAACAATGACTTCAGCATGACGTAACAATTGAATTAAACCAGCTGTTAGCGAGCGGATGAATATTAGTTATTACTGCTTGACCTTGCGCTGAGTTGGGCAGGCTTTCCATAGCCCTGTTTAGTTATTATTAGTTAATTTATGCTGAGACGTTGTTGAAAAATGTATAAGTAAGTTATTAAATACTTGTAGATCCTTACCACGGATATGGGCCGTGAGACGAAGCCATGAAAACGCCCAGAAAATGAGTTTCGTAGCGCACATCTGGTAACTAAATAAATTCTTCAGTTTTGTGTGAAAACGAACATAATGAACGCATTACAGCTTGTTCCACAATTCTAGTGCGAAATTGAATATAAGAGGTTCCCAGAAATTCAATAACCATAAGTTTACAACACATACATAAGAACTATGCAATTCGAGAGCCCTACAGCACACTAACACAAATGTATTCCTGTAATGTTTTGCCTGACCAAAATCGGACTTCCTCAGTCAATCATAATTTATTAGGTAGATTACGAAAAATATGGCATACATGTAACCAACAACAAAAAATACTTTAATTGTGTGACAGGAATCGGGAGTGACCTCGAAAGCAGCGACACCAACAACGTTGATTCACATAATTAAATTTTATGTAATAACCACAAGCAGTTTACAACAAGAACAGCATAAAAAGCTACATCCGTTTCATAGAAGCTATCAAACGTATTTATTTTTAAGCAATGAAGTCACAAATTAACATCGTGAGCACGAAAACACAAATAAATCAGTTAAATCTCACTTAGAAATTTACCGCAAAAGTCAAGAAAATTAACATAATGTACATAACATAGTGAACAGAAATATTACAATTTACAATTAATCATTTTTTAGTTTATGTGGTTATGTATTTGAACAAAGGCAATAATATTTCTAGAAACAGGACTACGACACTAACAAATGTCCGAAAAACAAAACAAATAAATGATACTTATTAAATCAACAGTAATATCTAATTCACTTTCTTCTGAATTGTTTTCGAAATCCACTATCTCAAAAATCGACATTTCCTCTATAAGTGTACTGTGATTTTTGCAGTCAATACAAAAACAAAAATCTGTGCAATTTAAGTTGATTTTGGCACACTTTCATAAATTATTTTGACTATTTTTCTTACACTTGCAGTTTGCCAACTCAAGAACTGATTTGAGGGCCACATGCTTCTTCAGTGAATCATTGTTGGGTGGAGAGTATAATCCTTATGTTTGACAGTGTTAAATAGACGTGCCCTGGTATCATTTACATTCTTCATATCCTCTTCAAATTCCTCAGCTTTATTTATTAATGACTCGTTAACTTCAAAAGATCTTCATAGTCGAGGGAAAAAAATGAATTGAAAATCTCAATGAAGTCTCCAACATGAATTTGATGGGCAGTTCCAATTGCAGAAAAGTGCTAAAGTATTTCAATATGAATAGCCCATCTAAGCTGTTTGCAACTATTATGATTCTCATATACCTTTAAGCTTCAAGACTTCTTGTTTAATCCATTTTATAGCACTGATAGCAGCAGGGATCAGAGCCTGCGTTAGGTCGGATTGGTGGAACATTGCCGTTTTCTTTTGTAGTACAGTATCTAAAATGAGGAAGAAAATAATATTTGGAGCAGCATGAGTTTAAAAATACCCCTAAATACTAACTAATACCTTGAATACATAATGCATTTTATCTGATGTACTAAATGAGCGTATATATGCTCATTGCATGTACTACAGTCCAGCAGTGTTTGCATACCATTACCGGTACTAGACTATATCTACACTAAATTTTGATATATCACAGTCTGAAATGTCCTATGACAGTATGAGTATGGACTATAGACTATATTTTAAAACATCAACTGTTTGTCTACAACTTGATTTCTCACCTCTCAATCGTTTCCAATGCTACCTTTCTTTCCACTCCGGCATACCGGTAACTTATCATTGCTTCCCAGGTTCTTGTCGACTCTATGAATTTAGATTTAGACCAACCGACATTAGTAAAATTGATTTTCTTCTCTTTCACACAACCGTGCATTACAGCAATGACATTAAACAACATGATGCGCAACTCCGGCATTTTTGTCCGAAGGTCGTATTCGATAGCACGCTCCAATGCACATACTTGACGAGACGAAAACGAGCGGATGTGCGCTGCTTTCAAGGCGTAGCACGAATGGTGTTCGTGCCTGCTTTGACAGTTGTTGTCAATTTTAATGATATTTTGGAAAGTTAAGGTAAAAAGAAATCTGAAAAAGGTAAGGTAAATACTATTGTTGTATATCACACCTGGGCATCGCACTGTTAAGTACATGTGGGAAAGCCAGCCTTTGTCAAATACTACGAAGTTATTAATTCAGTACGGTACGTAGTTGCCCATTTGCCAAATTACATATTTACTTACCCCTTATGGTTTCAAGTAGTTCATGCACCTCCAGTTAGATTTTTTTAATCAGTGAGGATATATACTCATTGTTGATTGCTGCTCATTGTAACATACTATTGCGCATTCACTTTTATTTGCGTATTGAATCAAAGTGTTAACAAGTTCACCTAACATTTCACTCATACCGGTCTATATTGTATAGTCTGATCTCTCAAGTATTTGGAGCCACGAATGCTTGTAATTTTCTGACTAAACCCCTTTATTAGTTGGTTCATATACCAAATTCAGTAAAATATTTTTTACATAAAACATGAGATATTGGATTTATTAGCTTTTCCATTCTAAATCATATAGATTGCTTTATTTATTCTTAACGAAAATTAATAAATCTCCTCTCTTTCTTCAGATGTGAAAGTTGTGGACAAACCTGTCTAAGCATTGTGAGACTCCTGCAGCACAAGAGGCAATAGCAGAAATAGTAAGTATATCAATCAAGAAATTAAGCCGACATAAAGCAAAACTTTCAACTATTCGTCTAATCTCAATTTCCTATTATTTATTAACAGGACAACTATAGCAGAAAGGGAGATATCAGAAGTCTGGCGACATATCACTGACAGTGTGATTCCTAGAAATATAATTAGAGTACTCTGCAATAGAAAAACAACCTATGGAGGCATGCAAAGACATTTGACCCTCCGGTAGAGTTGTGTATGGCCCCCACATCCTGCAGGGCTTGAGGAAAATAACTAAAAATTCCAAAGCGTAAAATTGCATACTCGGTCTTATTTGTAAAAAGGCACAAAACACGCCAGACATACTTAAAACAGCTTTGGAAAATGAGGATTACGGGTAACTCACTGCACCTGTGTTATATCTGGTTCATCAACTTTTGGTAGTACTATAGAAGAAATTCCGGAAGGGGTATAATCATCATTTATGATAAAATACTATCATATATTTTTTGGACAACTTCAATCTAGACCAGGGATCTCAAACTCGCGGCCCCAGAGAACTTCCAGTGCGGCCCTCCAACGCTTAACAATAATTGTAATAGTATTTTGGAAGTTTTTTTTTATCTAAATGTAATAGATTTTTCAAACCTTTTAAAGTGAAATTGATTATTCACACAGGAAACAATTTACTGAAAGTAGTTTTGGAATATTAATTTTTTTGTCCACATTTTGACCAAATTAAGAATACACATCAAGCTTGCAAAAAAATACTTGAATAAAACACTTGAGTGATTAAATTAAACGCAAAGTACATGAAGAAGGTGGCATTTTCGAAGAAAATGGGAGTTGTAACATTTCTGCTTTTCACAAAATTCTGAAGCACATTGTTTAATTTGTCATATTTCCATCAATACAATGAAAAAACACAATAAGCTCAGCAGTCGAATATGACAAATTCGAAGACCAACTTCGAACAGAAAATTTCCATGTGTTTGTTTAATATAATTATACAACGACTTAGTTACTAAAAATCAATATCAATAATAATTCAAGCAATCCGATGCCACGCAATGTGGTGCGAAATGTCTTGTCGAAAAAATCTGTCATTTGTTTTTTTACTGATTTATACAAGAAATGATAAAAGTAACTTTTTTGCATTACTGGAATTAATTAAACATTCGTAAAGATCCAGATTAACCCATGATCATGTGGCCTTTGTATGCTGGTGACACAAAAAAGATGCCAAACGTC